TGTAAAAGCAATACTTGGTACTTTAAGCCCTCAGAATACTTTGCAAACATCATGTGATGGTTGCATGAAGCAACGTTATCCCCTTTAAACAGGTGAAGAGATTGAGGCACAAAAGGGTTCATGATTTGACCAGCAGTTTAGACCATTATCATCAAATTCTGTATCCCACACATTTACCTTACCTCACCTAACCTTAAAAGTGATCATTTCTGGTTCAACAGTAGGGGAAAAAGCAACAATGCCTAATTACACTTTGCATTCCCAGTCTGCAAGTTACCTTCTAAAAGCACAGGCAAAGCCAACATACGTATATAATCACTGCCTAAATACAGTTTTCAAAACTGCAGCTATCACTACAGCTAAACTGCAATTCAGTTAAGGCTTATTGTTTTCTTTGACTTCTGCAAAGCCATGTCTGGCAAGCAAAATTCATGGAAGTTTCTTGGGACTAAATTAACAATTATTTGCATTACAAGCTAGGAAATTTCAAACCAGCCTTTTGGAAAGCAAGTGAGCTGTTTTTGAGAAAGAGCAGATTTCTGAAAAAGTCAGTGGTGCTGTGAAACGAAATTACAAGGCACCAAAAAGACTACTATTTGCACCCAGTAAAAAAAAAAGTTATTGAAATAATACATACTCTCAGTAATCTCTGATTTGCCTTCTGGACCATTATGTCAAAGACAGCCTTCAACGTAGTGGCTAATTTGACCTGTATGGCCATGTGGATGATCACAAAGAATTGGATTTTCAGAAGTGGTGTTCAAGTTTGGTACTCAGACTAGATAAAAATGTATGGTACAGGTGCTGCTCTTGTTTAGGGAAGAGCCGCGAGTCCAGCAGAACATTCAACTACTGCTTTTGCATTTCTGTCACAGCAGGGTTGTATCATTTGGTTTTCAGAAAGAGCCCTCAAACTGTTACAAGCCTTCTCACTAAATTTTGTTTCACTACTTCTTTGCTTTCAGGACAAAGTTGCTACAGAAAGTTTGCCTTTGCTGGGTTTCACCATTGCCCCAGAAAAGGGGGATGGAAGCATGGATGCAGTTTTTCATCTCTACCACAAGCAGACTCTCTTTTATAGCTTCCGAGCAGAGGATAACAATTCAGCACAGAGGTATGGGGGTAGACTTCCACACTAGCCAGTGCATAGGTCCAAAAGCTTATTTAGGGCTTTCCCCTCTCCTTCAATTCAGAATGCCTTCATGACAGAGGAAGCAAGCAACTTTCAGAGTGTTGATTAAAGCCAAATTACATGTGACTGGCCTGAGTGACATTAAAAATCTACCTGGTGCTTTTAATTTCCTTCAGAAAGGAGAATTTGCTTCCTCCTACGGGTAAAGAGGAGACCAAGTCCCTAGAGTCATCTCTAGAAGTCTGTCACAGGTGATTACTGTACAGAAACTTCTCTGATTTATATGTTCAATTTATATGTTCAATCTTAGTTTTCTCATCAACAAATAATTGCTTATTTTTCTCCATTCTATTGCTACTGCTTCCACATAATAAAATAGTCACAAAATTTATAATAAAAATGCCAGCACCTCCAGACACACAGGAAAGGAAATGAGTGTTTATACAAGGTTTTGTTGCTTTTAAACATACTTCAGTGGTTTCATGTTTCCTATTCTAAGACAGCATTTATACTGTCTTTGAGACTTTACAATAATGTACTGGTCAAGACTGCATTAGAAAGCAAGAGTCCTAGTAACTCAGCTCCCCGCTTTAATCACAAAACTATAGTTCCTCATCAGTGGTGGGATGGAAAATATAGTCTTCTTCAAGCTTTATGTTCTTAAAATACTTTTTTCTTAAAATACATATCTTCTTAAAATGTATCTAGTTTTATATGTACCGCTTTTTCTTTTCTGTTCTTTTTAGGTGGATTGAAGCCATGGAAGAAGCATCCATATTATAGCAGCTATCATGCAATGAACTTGGAAGAAATTCTCAGATTTCTATAAATTTCTAGCAATCCTCTTCAGACTTACAAAACTGAACAGTGTATTTCAGGCCCACTGGCCACACACACTGGATTTGAACTGTTTCCAGTTTGCTCTTTTCGATTCCTTCTTCTTACATCCACGTTGTTGCAAATGAAAACTTCAAAATAGAGAATATTTATGGTGATCTTTATGTATGTACAACTTCAGCCTGTACTATAAGCTTCTCCTCTGACCTCACAGTAAACTAAGTCTAACATCAAGACCAGAAAATACATGGAAATACTGACTATGGTAAGTAACAGGCTCAGATTTACTTACTCTAGAGCACTGCCGTATTTCATTGAGTTGGTTTTGATGTCTACCACAACACGAGAAACCATGTAGTACACAACAAATGATCATTTAAAGCACTTTATCATTTTTATTGAACTACACTTTCCTTTTCTTCATGTTTCTAAGGAGTTCTGTGGCATGATTTATTACCCACCCATTAACAAGTGCCAGTATGAAATTATGCCCCACGTATGCTAAATTGCTTCCACAGAAAATGAATAAACAACACATTCAATTTACCTGGTCTACCAGCACTTCATTGGCTATGATCCAACGTAATTACTATCAATTTATAATTTTACAGAGAGCACTGTATAATTTATGTTAAAGGGTTTAGTTTCATATCACTGCAGTACTTTGAAATGCACTTCAGTAGCTCTACAGATCCAGGCGTTGAATTATATCACTTCTCTTTAAATACTGCATCAGACTCAAACCCAAAGGTTATTTCTAATTTATTATAAACCTACAGACAGTTTTTATTTAACATGTCTACCTAATAGTGTTAAGATTTTTATCCTCTGTTTAAATAGTCTATCTTTATTTTCAAAATTCCTGTTGTTTCTGCTGTTCTTGTTATGAAAAAAAATGTCATCAAAAATTGAATGCACATAACTAGCACAGCATTTGAAATACGCTGGGTGCACCGAAGTGCACTTGTCTGAACCTGCTCTGCTGGAGTGCTTTGGAACTCCTGTGGCTATACCTGTCTCACATCAGACTGCTGCCATGCACTACATCTCCAGGGCTGGATTCTCAGCAGCCAGCTGTGTTTGTGTGACTTCAAAGATGCTGTGCTGCTTTACACCAGCTGAGGATATAGATGTCTGGAGTTTGGGGGGTTGGGTTTTTGTTAGGGTGTGTTTTTTTTAGTGTTTGGGTTGGGGTTTTCTATAAAGAAGGTTAAGAAGTGGTGTTCTAATCATTGCAATACCATGGTTTTGTGTCCTGTATTTGTCATAATATTTCACTGAGGAATAGAACAGCATTTATGATTAAAATATATCTTTGTATAAAAATACCATGTTCAAGAATTTACTTACAATAAAATATATTGTTGGGTATTTTTATTACTTTCATTTTTCCCTTTCTTTAAGAAGGTTAATGGATATCTGAATTTTTGACCCTAAAAAATTGTTTAGAATTGTCTGTATTTGTAAAGGTCTATAATATATACCCAAATCATAAGGTAGTTCAGTTTATCACCTGCAAAAACAATCTTAAAGAAACAAATACCTACCACTAAATAAAAATACCACTGTTTGGGAGGTTTTTTGATACAACTGAGTCTGATCATTTCAAATAGCATATATTATCATGTGCAAACAGAAATTAAGTATAAGAAAAGTAAAACTTTTGATTCTTTAGTTAATGAATGAACATCAATATTAACTCTTTACATTAGAACCATGGCCCTGCTACCAATACACTGTAAATGTTTATCCCTCCCCTTAAAAACATTTTGCACTCACCAAAAAATAAGACAACGTTGAATAGAGTAAGATCTCTAACTATGGTCTCAAACAAAACAAAACTGCACTACAGAATGACGATATTATGAAGATTTAAGTGTTGACATTTGGTGACTGTTGTATGAAGCTTTCAGTTAGAAACATGAAATGAAGACATGAAAATATTTTGTTGTAAAAAATAAGATACAGTGCTACTGGACATTGTTTTAAGTAACGTAGAAAAATAAAAGAGCAAAACAACTGCAGTTCTACAGGCTTTTTCTTTAAACTGTTTTTACCTTCTTTAATTCCAGCTTTGCAGTTACTGTTAACACATACTTGCCTATTAACCAGTTCTGTGACAAACTAGGGAAGAGCATCAAATCAGAAGATGGTAGTGGAGCCCTTCTGGTGGGAACAGGATTTAGACTTAATTGTTATGATGATGATACGTGTTTCAGTCCACACTGCATTTATCTCCTGTAAAGCCTGCCTATTTTACTTCAACTTACAGATACGAATGGTCTCAATACAGCATAAAGAGCAAAAAACGAAAATGTCCTCACAACTTCAGTCCAACTGTTAAATAAATTTGACCAAAGCTAAGCACCAGAGACAGAAATTATCATAATTTCAGAATTATTCCACTTATAACTGTTGATTTCTTCCATGGTAGGTATCAGTTTCACTCTTAAAATTTACATCCAAAGTTTCCAGAAAATTCTATGCAAATTTTAAGCACCTGAAATGAGAACTAAAAAAACCCCAAACAACAAAGCTCTACAATACTAATCCTAATTATCCAGTTACCTACAATATCCCAAAAATTTAAAACACATGAGCAACCTTAAATCCCATTCTCATTTTGTAGTACTTGGCCTGCCCTGACTTTTGACTACCCCTTAGTCTATTATGTACTTTTACTCCCATCACCATGGCCAGAGAGAAAGCTTTGACTATGCCATTAGTATTCTCACAACCCACAAGTGCTTTGCAGTGGTTCTGTGCTTCCACACCTAAAACCTCCTTCCCTCTCCACAAGTATGCACATCTCACCTCTGCTCTGTGGGGAATTCAGTCTGTTCTCCTGGGCAGGGTACAACTTCCACGGCGTCTCTTCCCTCCTCTTCTTGCATGACAATTTTGCAGCACATTTTTTCTTCTAAGGCAACTATCCCAAAAAAAGGGAGAAGCTAAAAGGTCCTTGTTATCAGCAGGTGCGTTTGAAAATGGACACCACTAAAATCCCTTCTCCACTATGGCTGGGAACAATTTAATCCTTATTGTCAGGAACTGTGGCCTGAAGAAGAGAAGCCCTTGGTGGAGCCTGCTCTCCATGAGGAGAGGAGCCCTGAGGACCCTCGGTGGAGGCCTGAGGAGAGGAGCCCTCGGTGGAGGCCTGAGGAGAGGAGCCCTCGGTGGAGGCCTGAGGAGAGGAGCCCTCGGTGGAGGCCTGAGGAGAGGAGCCCTCGGTGGAGGCCTGAGGAGAGGAGCCCTCGGTGGAGGCCTGAGGAGAGGAGCCCTCGGTGGAGGCCTGAGGAGAGGAGCCCTCGGTGGAGGCCTGAGGAGAGAGCCCTCGGTGGAGGCCTGAGGAGAGGAGCCCTCGGTGGAGGCCTGAGGGAGAGCCCTCGGTGGAGGCCTGAGGAGAGGAGCCCTCGGTGGAGGCCTGAGGAGAGGAGCCCTCGGTGGAGGCCTGAGGAGAGAGCCCTCGGTGGAGGCCTGAGGAGAGGAGCCCTCGGTGGAGGCCTGAGGAGGAGCCCTCGGTGGAGGCCTGAGGAGAGGCCCTCGGTGGAGGCCTGAGGAGAGGAGCCCTCGGTGGAGGCCTGAGGAGAGAGCCCTCGGTGGAGGCCTGAGGAGAGGAGCCCTCGGTGGAGGCCTGAGGAGAGGAGCCCTCGGTGGAGCCCTGAGGAGAGGAGCCCTCGGTGGAGGCCTGAGGAGAGGAGCCCTCGGTGGAGGCCTGAGGAGAGGGCCCTCGGTGGAGGCCTGAGGAGGAGCCCTCGGTGGAGGCCTGAGGAGAGGAGCCCTCGGTGGAGGCCTGAGGAGAGAGCCCTCGGTGGAGGCCTGAGAGAGGCCTCGGTGGAGGCCTGAGGAGGGCCTCGGTGGAGGCCTGAGGAGAGGAGCCCTCGGTGGAGCCCTGAGGAGGCCCTCGGTGGAGCCCTGAGGAGAGGAGCCCTCGGTGGAGCCCTGAGGAGAGGCCCTCGGTGGAGCCCTGAGGAGAGGAGCCCTCGGTGGAGCCCTGAGGAGAGGGCCTCGGTGGAGCCCTGAGGAGAGAGCCCTCGGTGGAGCCCTGAGGAGAGGAGCCCTCGGTGGAGCCCTGAGGAGAGAGCCCTCGGTGGAGCCCTGAGGAGAGGAGCCTCGGTGGAGCCCTGAGGAGAGGAGCCCTCGGTGGAGCCCTGAGGAGAGGAGCCCTCGGTGGAGCCCTGAGGAGAGGAGCCCTCGGTGGAGCCCTGAGGAGAGGAGCCCTCGGTGGAGCCCTGAGGAGAGGAGCCCTCGGTGAGCAGGGCACAAGACTGAAGAGCACAAGGGCAGGCAGGAGGTGGTCTGTGCTGGCTGGGATCCCCCGAGCACTGCTCCAAGGGGGGGGATGAAACCACCACTAGCAGAAAAGGGTGGCTGGGGAAGCTAGTGTTTTAATTTTTGGCTTTCTCACTATCCACGGCTGTTTTAACTGGCAGTCAGTTAAATTAATTTTTCCCAAGACAGATCTATTCTGCCCATGACAGCAACTGGTAAGTGATCTGTCTTTACCTTGACCTATGAGCTTTTTCTGCCCCTGTGCTGTTATGGAGGGGGCAGCAAGTGACTGGGTTAGCATCTGGCTGCAATCCATGGTCAGCTCACAACAGTGTGGTAGACAGATATAATTATTTTCTTTGCTGCTAGTCTAGTTACTAACCTTTACTTGTAGACTATCTCAGTTTTTGATCTTTTTCACCTTCAGCATCTTCTATTATTTCTCTTCAGTCATAGCTAAGGCCAAAAATGGCCTATACAAGCCCTTTTTACTAATGCTCTTTTAGAAGTCAGTGTATATAAATTTAGGAAACTTCAACATCATCTAATACAATCTTGCTTATTAAACAAGTTCAGGGCATACAGTGTAGTTCTGCATATCACTGAACTCATCACAAACACTGCAGCAAAGTTTGTCATAGCTTTTTTGATGCAGCTTTCCTCACTGCACTTAGTGTTGCCAGTCTCAGTGAGCACAGTGGAGCTCCACATCAAATGGGACTGCACTCCACCAGAGCTCAGAATAAAACTGCTCCAAGGCCTTCTCTCGATGGCACGAACAAGGAAGAATGAGGAGACAGCCCCTGTCCTCTAAACTTTTCCTCAACTTGCCCATCAGGAAGCACTAAGGGGAAAGCAGCATTTCACATCTGGCTTCAGCATTTTCCATTCTTTTACTCAGTCACACCCTTAAATAGTATGTTTTATGAAGTTAAAAAAACCTGCTTCTAAAGGTATATACATATTTTGAGAATTTGGATATTCCTCATGTATTTAACATTACAATATTGAACACCCAAGACATTGAGACGTTTTCCTTTATTTATGTATTGCAAAGACATCTGTACATCATCTGCTTTGCTAAGTCCCATTCTATGACAGGCTGTAATTCATAGGTGTACTTCTTTATTTCTCATATCCTTGCCCCAAATAACCACTTCTAAGAAAAACAAACCACCCACCCACAAAAATCCCCCCAAAGAAACAAAAAATCAGAGTGCTGTGTAACTACTCAGACAATAGCACTTCCTGTCTATGTGACTGTTGCATTCAGCTGCCATCTCTTCCTTTCAGGAGTTACCATCCCTTCACCTCTTTCAGTTTTACTATTCTTCTAACTGCTCCTTAAGTTAGTTCCTGTCAAAATTACTAGACTCAAGGAAAACTTACTAAAGTACCAAGAACATTTTGATAGGAGTAGGTCAAGAAATAGCTACACAGTTATGACAGGCGGTCAACATCTTGTAGCCTGTGAGATGACAAGCACTGAAAGGTGCTTAAACCATCTCCGCCACACCCAAACCTGGCTTGCGCCTACCACTGAGCATTCACAAGCAGAACTAGACTCACAACCACCTTCACCGTGAGAGCCCTAATTAATAACACTGACTATAGAAAATAAAATAAGAAGTCGGTACTATCTGGCGGTGGCGTTTGTGAGAGCCTCCCTCAACTGCGAGACTGACTTTGACTGCACCTTCTGCGAAAACCAGGGTACACCTGAAATATCAGCACCACCGGCGCACAGAAGAGCCACTGCCTACCCATTACCTCGGGCTGCAGGCCCCCGAGGAGTCTTCTGAGCGGGATGTGCAAAGGCGGGGGCCGTGCCTTCCCCTTGCTGGCCTGAGGGCCGACCTCCTCCTGCAAAGCCATAGAAACCCAGCCCGGTCCGAGCGGTGCGGAGCTCGGGCGGTACAGGTAGCCCAGTAGCCCCTCCCCGCCACCGGCCCCGCCCCGCGGGGGATGGAGGGGCCGCGGCAGGGCGGGCGCTGGAAGAGGAAGCGGGGACGCGCTCGCGGGCGGCGGCGGTGGGGTCACGAACTCTGACCTGTCACAGGGCACGGCACACACAACAAAACACCCCCGGCCCAACATAGCCCCGGCTCCCTCCCCTCCGCGGGCCCCACAGCCCCTCGCCGCCCCCGCGGGGGGAGGGAGGGCCGCTGCTGGGCACCGCCACAGTACCGACCCGCCCGGGTCACCGCCACTGCACCTTTGGCGCCCATTCCTGAGGTAAAAACCATTTTTTAAAATTGAGGCAGCCCGGGTGGGTTTGTTTTGTGGGGGCCGGACGAGGGAGGGGGCACGGGGAGGCGGCAGCGGGCCCTGCTCGGGACACCCCAGCAAGGGGAGGGGAGGGGTGACGGTGGGTTTAGGGGAAGGGGATTGCACAGCTCCGGTATTTGGCTGGTAAGCGAGCGCCAGCCGTGCTCTGGGCTAGCCTACGGCTCCTGGAGAGAGAGGAGAGGAAAGGACCATTGCGGCGTGCTGGGTCGATCGGCAGTCCTGTGGCGGAGCCGCTGTGCTGCAGTGTGGGCCGACTGATGTCGGAGCCGGTCCGGTCGCGGTGAGCGCAGTCTGCTGTCCGGGGGGGGTGCAGGGGCGATGATTGCGGCGATGATCGCGGGACACGAACACAGAGAGAGAGAAGATGGAGTCTGAGCGGGCGGAGGCGGCGGCTTGAACCCGACCCTTTTACCTTTGCCACCGGGAGGGCGGAGGGGAGGGGGCGGTGGGTACTTTGCATACGGGGCTGAGACCGCCGCCATCTTACCGGCTGCTTCCTCATTGCCATGCTCAGGCCTCCCATAGCCTGACACAAAGCTATACCGGAGGGGAGGGGAAGGGGCCTAATGGCGGCGGCAGCAGCCCCGCCTGGGCCCTGGCGGGAGGCCAGCACCGCCATCTTGTGCTCAGTGCGTCCCCGGGGGGGTTCTTCTTGCGATCGGGGGGTGGTGCCGTCGCCGCCATTACAGGCGGGTCGCTCGGCCAATGGGCGCCGTGCGGGGTAGCGCTGCGCTTGCCATGAGGTCATTCGGGGGCGGGGCTGACGGCGCGCGGGGCGGGAGCTGGACATGGCCCTACTGCCGCGGGCGACGCGCACGCAGCCAATGGGGGTCGGGGGGCTGGCCCCGCCCTGCCCGGGGGGTTCGGGGCCGGCTGGCGTTGCCCGTCGTGTCCGTGCCAGGGCTGGGGCTGCTCGGTGTGTCCTGGCCGCCAGGACAACGTACCAGAGGCTGCCAGCAGAGCCACACCCGCGCCATGCCTGTCCCGCCGGTGTAGCCGAGTCGATCTCACAGTGTGAAGAACTTCGTTTCCTTAAAGGAGCAAATATCAGTAATTCTGAATTCGGCTTTTTACCATGTCGTCCTGTTTGGGCTGTACCCGTAGAATATCTCAAATGGAGTTTATGACTTGGTTTCTGAGGTTTCAGTGCAGCTTAGGGAGAGATTAATGGGTTTACACCGTGTTCTGGACAGCAGTGCCTCAGCACGTACTGAGCTGGCTGCCACGCTACTGCATTGAAAATAATTTTCTGGTGCTCCATGTGCCTCCTTGCAGATTTTAAGTTGCACTTCTTGTTGGTTTGTTAGGGGGATTTTTTTTTTTTTCGTTGTTGCCTTAAACTGCTGCTCAAGGCTTTTGCTGAGAAGCTGATTTTGCGTTCTGGGAGTCAACACCATTAAGAAGCTTGATATGGCTGTGTACGGTCTCTTGGCTTCAATTGAATCAGCTTAATAGCCTCAACTTAAGGCTGTTTTGGAAGGGTCAAAAGTATAAAAAGCCCTAGTGGATAACACCACCACCAGCAAATCTATCAGAGCCATGCGGCAGCAAAGACATCTTTGTGTCTCAGAAAGGTACTTTTATGAACAAAATATCTCATCTGCAGGGCTTCTTTCACCTTAAAGCATTGAGAAAATAACGTTACAACCATATGGTTATCATTCTTGCTGAATATAAAACAATTTAAGATAAAAGACTGAAAAGGAGTTACTGAACAACTGAGAAACCATTCACAAGCTGGGTTTGGTGGAAAGGGTTCCTAATCTTAATGTGTAAGTTGAACACTCGAATAAAACATGACAAGCCGTAGGAAAAACTAGCATAAATAGTTTCCATAGGGAAATGTGTTTTTCTGTTACATGTTTTGCTATTGTTTGCAGTATTTTTAAATTTTATATTAAATATTTTGGAGCTAGAAACAGATGTTTTCAATAAAACATCAACTGGGCCAGCATTCAGGAATGCCTTTTCATTACCTACACCTGGGTCAGAATCTGAAGTCTGGCCCTGTAATGAGCAAGTCACAATTAAAAACTAAATTAATTAATTGGAAATCTTAAACCACAGTCCTAATAATTATAATTAAAAATATATTGGAAGTGCTTTTCTTGTTTCTTTATCCTTGATTGCTTTGTCTTTTTTTTTAACCCCAAAGATTGTAAAGTTCAGTGTGCAGTCGTTCAGAATAGGATAAAATGATTCTGTGGTATTTTCTTCTCAAAGTGATAATATTATCACATTATAATAAAAAAATAGATAATTGAAAATACATTTTAGATGTGACAGTTTATTTCCCTTATTGTGCAAGATTACTCTAAGAATATAAATGTACATGGCAGTTTATGCAAACAGCATTCTTCATTTGCTGTCCCGTGTTCAGTGCGGGGTGTAGAAACTGTTTAACTGTAAGGTTTTATCATTCTTGAGCTGAGGAAAGTGCCTTAGAGATCTATGAATTCCACAAACTGCATCGGTAGTTGACACTCAAAATTAGTCTCATTTATGAAATTACCATCTGTTCTTTACAACCTAAATAATAGAGTGGAAATAGTATATTAGAGGCTTTATAGAGTAAGGGAATAACTCTGTGCCTCAGGTGTTTGAACAGCACGGTTCCAGTGTGCATGTCCCATATACGTATGTGTGTGCATGTATGTAGTTGCACACTCGCATCCATGGCATCTTGACTTATTTGCCATATAGATCAAGCAGAACTGTAAGTTACCAAAAAGTCATCTCAGAGCTTTCTTTAATAATGAGAAAAATCCCTGACTTTTGTGCCTGATGGAAGTTGCTGGCGTCTTTCCAAACAGGTTCTCTAATGATCTTGTTTCACCATGGCAACCAATATGGAGGTGCTGGCTCAGCAGGTAGTGGAGACTCAGCAGGTGGCTGAGGTGAGTGACAGATAATATCACAACAGTTGGTATATGAGATTTTGAAATTAAAAACTTATTAGGGAGTTCCTGCTGTTCATAATTAAGTATCATAAATGGAACAGAAAATCTTTATAGAGCAGTATTGCTTTATGCTTGAGGACAAATATGAAAAAAGTGCCACCAATATGTGTTTTGTTCGCTTCATTGTGGTGGCCCCCGTATTAGGAGTGCAAGTAGGAAATTCAGCATGAACTATAGAGAAACTTAGCTGTATTGTGAATTGTTAAAAAGACTAATACAATGAAATTTCTCATCATGTGATCATTAGATTGACTGTTTTGGACATGAAAGGTTTCTGCTTCTCGTTTGAGTTGTAATCTGAATCCACCACAGTGTTTGAAGTTACCTGTTTTACTTATGCACTGTATTCAATTTACAGTAGGGTGATTAATTTAAACCAGGTTTTATATTTTCTGCCTACACATGTAAGAAAAAAGAGCATGAAATCTACTTAAAGTGATATTAGATGATGTCTTGATGTATATTCACTGAAGCTTGGATGCTCAACAGCTAAAATGTTTAAATCAACTAATAAACACAAACTGTAAGTGTTCACAGCCACAGAAAATAACATGTTTATCTCCTTCACCATGCAGACTTCAGTCAAAAAATAAACTAGATCATTTGTCTGATTAAAATTGTTTTGTTTAATATCCTTCAAATACTGTGATTTTTCATATGATTACATAATTAAGGGATTTAATATATAATGAAGTGCAAGTGAGCTGAGAGATTTCTCTAGATAAGACCACTTTTCAGACACTAGTTCAGAGTTTTCTTTCGTCTATTGTAGTATTGTACTGTTTTTCATCTATTGTGCTATTACACCAGGATATTAAAAAATATTTTTAGTTCAAGAAGAAACCCTGTATAAGATATAAATACAAGTTTGATTTTGTTTTCAGAAGTGGATTCAAGATTCCATACTTAGAACTAATTTTTTTTTTTTTTTTTTAAATTTGGTTCTTTTTCACACTGAAAACCAACAAGAGATTTATCACTCTAGTTTTCTGTACCAAGTATCAGTTTGGCAAGCTGCATTTTTAAAAAATACTTCCAAACATACTTGGAAATAGAAATCTGTAATGGAAATACTGGCAAACCTTATCTTATTTTGGTAGAACTTGGGTGCTATAATAACATCTCAAACACATAAAATATGTGACATTTGTAATTCCTCGTGCAGGAAATGCACCGTGGTAACATAGTGTGATGGTTGTATCTTGCCACTGGAGAGATCGCTCCATCTCAAGAGTGTATGAAGCTCTGTGATTTCTTCCTGGCCGGTGGGTAAATAGAGGGCTTCCTCTCTTTATAGCATTCAGCTCCTCCTTAAATTATATGCCTGTCCACTACATAACACCATGAAAACTTTGGTCATGGAAAAACAGTTGTGAGCAGCATTATCTCATTAAGAATTCATTAACACTATGACCATGTAAATGTTGAATCATTTTTTTATGAATGGCTGGCTGTCTGCTATTTATTTTGTCCCATCAGATACAGGTTTTAAAACGAGTAAATACATCACTAGTTTTCTTGACGTGTGCTAAAATTCTATATTGTACTTACTGTTTCTTTAGAATCAAACCTGGCACTGGCCTTAAAAAATGAGAGGTTTTCAGAATACCATATTTTTCATTGATGAAAATTAAATGGAAGAAGAGGGTCATTGATCATGCACTGAATTTCAAGTTATGAGCTAAGAGGCTAGTAGCAAAGAGGATAACCCAATGCAAATATTGACAGCTGTATCTGCATAATTTTTTCCACATACCTGCCACAAACATAGTACCTGTGTTTATTGAGAACTGTGATATCAAGCACCAAATTCAGACTGTCATGCAAGTAGGCTCTGTGTTGTTTCACTTTCTTGAGCAATATTTAATCAGATTTGTTTTCAATGAAACTGAATGTATCACAGAAGTTGCTGAGAGTGCTCCAGTGCTTGTATTTTTGTACTTTATTTTTAAGACTTTTTAAAATTGTCCTTGTGATTGTTTCGAAGTGTTTCAATGCTGTTGCTTGCTTCTGCTTTATATCAGTGTTGTTTGTTGAATTTTTGCAACTCTGTATTTCTGTGGACATTTGGAAGAATTTCTTTACAGAAAGGGCTGTCAAAATAGACAGAAATACAAAACTATGTATTTCTGAACAGGCTGGGGGTGAGTAGTGTCTGCAGTTGCCTTTACTTACATTTCATGAGACTGGAGAACAGAGAGCAGCTAGGGGATTTGGAGGGAATTTCAGCAATTTCTCCTCATCCTGAACAGCTTTTGAAAAGCAGGAAAAATATTTTAGCCTTAATGCAAAAATAAGTAATGTTGCTTTTCTTAAGGATTTGTTTAGTACTGTGCAATATGTCAATGACTTGGGTTCAGTCCCACAACCGTCATAGATTTGACTTGAATATTGTTTAAGAAAAATGTATTTAGTTTTGAAGTGGAGATGCATTCCCTGTGTAGTGCCTTAAATTTTAATGCAAATCTTTTAAACAGAGCTGTCACCATGGGGAGGAATAAGGACTGTTTCCTCTTTCCAACAACAGCTCTGATGTGACCAGGAAGAATTTTTAGTAGTTGCTAAAGCTGTCCATCCTGGCTCCATGACAGCCACAAGCTGTTCCCAGTGCATCTTTTTTCCCTGTCAGAGGCTATAGAGTCACAGAAGGTGACTAGTGAGCCCCGTGCTTCCTGGATCTTGTTAATGACAAGTGCATTGTTGGAGAATTTTCAGTTGCTTTCAGTTCCCTCAATGTCCTGATAAGAACCTATCAAAATACTGGATATCTTGGTCACATAAAGTATTTTCTTGATCCTCTTTGAGGTGTCTCTGACATGTTACATCAGTAAGTAGTTCAGCAATTCAGATTTAGATCCAGATGAAGCACAGTGTGCTGGAAGAGGAGAGTAGAAACGCTGTTGTTCTGATGGGATAAGGTTTTGCTTTGGTTTAAAAATTGATAAAGTGTAAAATAAGACAACTTTTATTTAATATTTTATGACTATCCTTTGACCATTTTCTCATTTCTGGATGAACTTTCAAGGTGGAGTTTTAATGCAAAGTCTTCTCAAACAATTTTTAGTTCAAATACAGCTTTTCTCAATTTACTGTTAACTGTAAAAGACCTGGACATACCATCAGCCCAGGTATCTCCCAGAAAGTGCATATGGGAGTAAGGAGCTCCTCTCTGGCTTAGGGAGTTTGGCAGCCTCTGAATTGAAGACTGTTACCAGACGTGGCAGAGCAACTGGTGTAACAAAGGTGTTGGGCTGTTCCTTAAAACATAGTCTGAGATTTTCTTAGGATAGGGATATGCCAACTGCAGTTTATTCCGTGACAGTTGCCTTTGTATGTCTTACATAAGATCTTGTACTGCCTTCCTGCTAGAGCAGTTAAACTAGAGCTCTTCTATGGGGAATTGAATTTTATCTACCATTCTAGAAAAGACCCCAGTGGTCAGAAGATTCTATTCTCCAAAGAGAATCATTGAAACATTTTTAGATATATCTTACACTGTGAAAGAAATATTTTTTAATATATATTTTTTATAAAAGCCTGTTATTAATTTAATAGCTAAAGAAGTTAATTAGGAAAAATATCTATAGAAAAATAAGTCTTTCTGAATTGATTTGAGATACAGGTATAAAACCTGATACCATCTTTTTCATTGACATTTTTTAGCTGTTTCATGGGTGCAGTTAAAAATAGTTGGTCTGTGTTTGCTTAACTATGCCTTACTTTATTAATATTATAGAAAAAAAGTAGAGAATAAAAACTTAGTATCTCTGAAACTGATTTACACTTAGTGAGAACAGACCAGTGTATTCAAGCAGTACAATTACTTTGGCTTTTACTGGTGTAAATGTAGGAAACGTTTTTCTACTTGTTAGAGAAGATTAGAGACTTTAAAAATTCCTTCCCAATGTGGCCAGTTTATTATTCCTTCAATTTATTGCTCATATATTCCTTTCATAATCAGTGTGTGTAGGGGGGAATAAACTACAGAAAGTGTTGAAAAATTAGTTAGTAAGTACAGAAATGTAGTATATGTATACATATGTTCATACAAACACACATATAGATGTATATATATGTGACGGTTGAATCAGTAAATTAGTATGCAAATGACTATATGGCCATGAAGAAACCTTATTTATTTCAAATGACATAAAAATAATGAAATGTCTAGAGAAGCTTAGCTTCAAGCTACCAATTTTATATGTGCATATGTATTTTATGTTTTATATATACCTTTAATATCTATAATATTTTATATTTATATTTTATATATACCTATTTATTGGAAACTTAATATGATTCCAACTAAAGTGTAGAAACTGCAAAAAATTAGGAAAAATAAGGTATCCATGCAATTATATATATATATTAATAAAGAAACAGGAGAAGCCAAATTTAATTTTGCTTGTCTTCAAAATGCATCTAATTGCCAAATACTTGGTTTTAATTTAATGATAAAAAAGGTAGATAAATATATTTTTAAATGTATTTTTATATTTCTTAAGCTTTGTTCTGATCTTCTGTGTCATTTAGGCAAATCACTATTAATTTATATAGACTTCAACATATGAAATTATTGCTGGTGATACTTGTCTACAATTGAAGGTGAAGAACTGTAAAACAGTTTTAAAAGATATTATTGTTCTAATTTAGACCTTCTAAAGAGCATGTAGCTTAGTTAATAATTTGGCATGGAAGACAAGAAGATCATTGATTAAATGTGTCCTCTAAGAGTCTTGATTTTGTAAGTTTTGTTTTTTTTCTTGCCTAGGTATCTTTGTTTTCTGCAGCTGAATGCTTTGAATCATCCAATAATTAGAAGATTCTGCTATTTGTACATCTTTCCTGTGCATTTTCCTCATTTAACATGCAACTTTTGTGACCTGTGTAGTAAAGATAAATAGAGATGGTATGTTCAAGTTAGGTTATACTTTTATGCTGTATCGGACTGCTTATGGTACAGGCTATAGGGGAGTAGAAGGGTATGTTTTCATTAAGTGCTGTGTATTTTAACACCTCTGCTTTCCCAAAGAGACTTCAGTACAGGCTCCTTGATGTCCAAACTGTTTCTTCTTTTTTTACATCTAAAATGAATTTTTCTGTATATTAAAAAAAAGATTTTTCAAAGCAAACTTTGAAAACAAATGGACACTACCCTGTTGTCCAGTTGTATAGATTTTGATAAACAAATAATTCCAAGATTGTTTAATAGAGGATTCCTGATTTTTGAGCTTCCTGATTTTTGGCACGTTACTGCAGATCCCAGAATCACAGAATGGTCACTCTTCAAGTGTGACCATCCAGCTGATTCCTTATTCACCATGTGAACCATCTGTTAAATCTGTGTCTCTCCACATTAGAGACAAGAATGTCATGTGGGACAGTGTCAGATGCTTTGCACAATTTCAGGTAGATAAGGTCAGTCACTCTTCCTTTTTCCACCAATACTATAATCCCATCATAGAAGGCCACCAAATTTCTTATGCACAAGTTGCCCTTAGTGAAGCCAGGCTGGCTGTCACTAACCACCTTTTTATTTTCTACGAGCCTTAGTGTAGTTTGCAGGAGGATTTGCTCCATGATCTTGCCAGACATGGAGATGAGAGTGACTGACCTGTAGTTCCTCACGTCTTCCTTTTTTCCCTTCTTAAAAATGGAGGTTACATATTTGCTTTTCCACTTGGTGGAAACTTCGCTGGACTGCCGTGACTTATCAAATATGAGTAGTACCTTAGCCACTTCATTCATCAGTTCCCTCAGGACCCACAGGTGCATCTCATCAGGACCCATGGCACCTTCAGGTTCCCCAAATAGTCTCCAACTGCTCTCCTACAGTGTGTGGTTCTTCAATCTCCCAATCCTTGCCTTTGCCTTCTGCAACTTGGACAATGTGGCTGGAGCACCTTCTGGTGAAGACTGAGAAAAAATGTGAACGAGTAGCTCAGCCTTTTCCAGGTCTCCTGTTTCCTTTTGGAGACATCCCTCATTTTCCCTAGTACATGGCCAATGACATCTATTTTCTGTAAACAGAATATGAAAGCCAATGTTATCTTGCATGTTTAATTCAACATTTAACAGTTCTGCTCTGAAAACAGCTATGCAAGGCATCTTTGTCAAGCTTTTTCTAGGTATTCAGAGCTAGATTTGCATTATAGTTTGAGGCTCTAGAAAGATATGGAATAGAACAAGAAACACTAGAATTCAGTAATAGTGCCAAATCGAATTTCTGTCACAATAAAATACCTCAATATTATTAAAAGGGGAAATACTTAACATTTTACGTTATTTGTATACAATGTATTTTTTTCAAAAAAACCAATATTCTGATAATTCATTGAAAACAAATCCAAGTTCACTTAATGATTGTTAACATTTCCAATAAATTTAGATACCATGCTATAGGGCCATCTGATCTTTAATAAATATATGTCTTTTTAAAAGTGTTCAATACCTTTACAGTAGATTAAAATTCTGTGTGTTATTTACAGGTGCAGACTGTTCAGACTTCACTATCTGAATCTCCAGTGATGACCAGCCCTTCCCAGCGTATCCAGATAATTTCCACAGATGCCTCTGTAGCTTCACAACAACGCATTCAGGTAAAAATCCATTACTTAGCTATTACATTTTCTCCTTTTTTTGTCCTCCCACTTAGAGTTATACAAAATCATGCTAAAGTCTATGGAATACTTCCTTAAATTCTGTGAGAACAGTTCATTTTTGGTGCAAACTAAAATTCTCTTTCTCCCTCAGCATGTATGTGGTGATGACTAGCTGGCTGTATATAATAGTTATATTGATGATGTAGTTAGTGAGGAGTATTAACAGAGATTAAACCCAGCCTACATGGACAAATCTTCTGAGCCCTAGCCAAAGCAAATGGGCAGACACTGGCAACAAAACACCTGAGGTCATCTCCAAGGGCATGCCTCCTCCCTCTCACTTACGAGCCAGTGGGAGAATAATCTATTTAACATGAAGTTAGCCTTTGAGAATGCTGCACAGTGGGTTGTTGTTACTGGTACATAATATGAAGATGCCATTAATGTATCAGAATGTATGCAGTGGCAAATGAGATAGGACTTGTTAAGTATTAATGAAATACTGATGAATGTTGATATGGTTACCCTACCAGGCAAAATAGAGATTATGGTATCAGACAACTGTATCATAAATAGAAACTTTCCACTGTAAGAGAATCTTGAGAATCAGCACATGATACAATAAGGCTGCCTAATTCCACCTTTTGTCGATAATTTTAAGGAGTAACATCATAGATAAAATATGTAGGTTAATGTTGTTAATGACCGGAGAACATCTCCTTGGTGCCATCTATAAAGAAAAATCAGAGAGAACTTCTTTGTAATTTTTCATGGATATAATTCTGCGACAGAAAGAAAGGTTTTAAAAGGTAAAGTTTACTCCAATCATGAGTTTCTTTATTGTGTTTTACAGATTGTGACAGATCAGCAAACAGGTCAGAAAATTCAAATAGTGACAGCAGTGGATTCCGCTGTGTCTCCAAAGCAACAGTTTATTTTAGCCAGTCCAGATGGAACTGGTGCCGGAAAGGTGATACTGGCAGCACCTGAGGCATCTAATGCCAAACAGCTTATCTTTACCACCACGGACAACATTGTGCCAGGCAGAATTCAGGTAAATGTGGTAATTGAGATTCTTGGTTTCTTGATTTTTTAAGTCTGCATTTGCTTTAAGACCAATTGCAATAGTTTTCTAAAGATCTCATGACATGGACTAAAACTGTATTAGTTGTAGACTTCATTATACAATCATAAATTCTTCTGTTTTCACATTCCTCATTACACTCATCACCCCTCGTTGTCTGTTCTAATTCAAGTTCTAAAGACATAAGCAAATACTTAAGACAGTGCTTGTGAGAAGTGCCAGGATTTCTTAGTCTGTTCAATAATCACAGATATACAGAGATACAGCTCAGCTGAGCAAACTTACTTGAGTTCATACTTTTACGTTCAGTATCAAGACATTGCGATAACAGCTATTTAGAGCAGAAGCTATCCTCTGCTATACTTTTTTGTGGGTTTTGAGCATGATCTAGGCCAACAGGAACTTTGCAAAGGCAACAATATAAACAATAATCTACCCCAGTGAAATTTGAGATTTCCTCCTAGCAGTCTTAAAAGAAAAGAAAAAAAAAAAAAAAAAAAGGCGTGGTCTCTATTGCTACTGTTACAATAGAGAATATTTTACATCAGGAAGAATTATTTGTACAGAAATATTTTAAAAATTGTGGTAACGGTCTTTTAAATTTTATTTTACTATGCTTAATAGAATATTTGACATTGTAGAGGGGTGGGGTTTTTTTAATTTTTCTATGTTAAGTGGAATGTTTGCAACAGAAGTTTTGGAATCAAAGGCCTTTGGAAACTAAACTCTTTCTATAATAGATCTCAGCTTCAGGCTATCCCCTTTGAGCCACACACCTCTATCAGCTAGACGAGGGATACATGGAAACAGCATCTGAAAGCCAACCATCTTTGGCTACAATATAGCAGCTGTTTGACAGCAATTGCAAGAAGGGAAAAATACTGTTGCACAAGTGAGGAAACTCATTTGTACTCAACAAAGCTACCAGTTTTATTTGGAATTTGTTTTGATATGACCATTTCAACAGTCTCAGCATTGACAGTAAAAACTCCCATTAAATTGCATTTTATGCTACATATGTCATTCTAAAATTTAGTCACCTCAGCTGATACACCAATCTTGTTCTGTAGGCAAAGCTCCTTACTTTCATGTCTGTCTAATTATGTGTTTTTGTTCTGGAATTTTGCTTCAGATAGTGACAGACTCTGCTTCAGTGGAACGTTTGCTGGGAAAAACTGATGTTCAGCGGCCCCAGGTAGTAGAATATTGTGTAGTCTGTGGCGATAAAGCATCAGGTAAGGAAGCATAGAAAGTAATATTGAAGAAAATTGCTAGAAAGGATGGCTGGGATGAAGAGATAATTTTTTGTGTGTTTTAACTGATTTTAGCCATGCTGATGGCAAAAGCAATTGAGTGTTTAAATGGAGAAAGATAACATACTTTGTATTTATACACACAAAATAGTTAAATTGTGCTTGGAAGAACATTATTCTTTTCCTTCAACTGGAAAGTATGATAAATAATGATTAAATAGCTCCTGCTAATGGAAGAACACTCCTTGAAGCATTTAGTCAAGTTCCACACAGTGATGGGCAACTATGAAATAAACCTGTCACCTAAAAAAGTCTAGCTACTCCGAGAAAACACTTTTTAGTGCTCTCTAACAAGCTTAATGCTTTCTGGTAGATTTTGTTCTTCTACTGTCACAGAAAAAGGCAAGTAGAGATCACATGAATCCTCGGTGTTTCAGATCCATGCAGTAACAAGGAGTCCTGAGGTAAAATTTCTGTATTAGTTGAGGAAGTGTACTGTGCTTTCATGCTACAGAGAAGACACCCTTCTCTTTGTCTCATTTCCTTTTATTTTTTTAAGCATTTATGTAATTAAAACAATACCAGAATTGGTACGTAGAGGAAATCTAAATGAAGATTGCATTTCAAATTTTGTTGTAAAATTACTTATATTCTGAAATTACTTGAATTTTTGGAATGTATGTTCTTTAAATGTGTCCTATAGTCTTTAACAGCAGGTAGAATTGCATCTGTACTTGTCCAGAACAGGAACTACAACTTTATAGACCACACATTCAGAAATAGGCTTAGCCTTCCTCTCTTCACTCTCTCAGCAAAAAACTCTGACAATAGGTAAAAAAGAAACATCCTGTAAGACTTTAATAATGCTTTCATGGTCCGAAATGATTGTACAGATACAAAAGAAATTTAAAGGGTGATTTACAATGATTTACTTGCTCAAAATAAATATTTCTATGCTAAAATGGAAGTAATTTCCATCTGATAACAATATGTATGTTTCCTAGGTCGTCACTATGGTGCTGTCAGTTGTGAAGGATGCAAAGGTTTCTTTAAAAGAAGTGTAAGGAAGAATTTGACCTACAGTTGTCGTAGCAACCAGGACTGTATCATCAATAAACACCATCGGAACCGCTGCCAGTTTTGTAGGCTTAAGAAATGTCTAGAGATGGGCATGAAAATGGAATGTGAGTGTTAAGTACTCAGTGTGATACTCTGCCTACCAAATAAAAAATCTGTGGGCTACCACCCTTTTGTATGTTCTCTCAGTTTTGGTCTATGATGCTTGAAGGAAGCAGAGCTTTTGACGGCTAAAGCATCTACAGCACCTTTCTTTCATCGCCATTTTATGTCTGAGGTGCAGTAATGATTTGTTTCGAACTGTGTCTCATACTACTATAGTCTTTGAGGAGCCCAGTTGGAGCCTCACTCAGAATGCATGTTCAAACACAGTGTATGTTTATAATACAAATTATTTTAACGGGCTTTGACATAAAGCTAGGCCTAATATTCCACTTCAAAAATCTGCTTTCCTTATGGTTTAATTTTGTGGCTTTTTCAACCAGTGATAAAAAGTAGTTAATGTCCTTTTTCTTTTTTTTTTCTGCTTTTTCAAATTTTATGTTAATTTGGTCATTTGTGAGCATGGTGTTATAAGGCATTGTATAAACTGTCATATATGAAAAAATATGCTTTCCTGTTTGTATGCAGTGCCTTGTACATTTTCAGCTCTAGCAACCAAACACCTCTGTCAGTGTATTTTGTTTTCAGTTTATAGCACCTCTGCCGCTTCAGTTCAGCACTTCATGAAACTTACCTGGTTGTTTTGTGATGTGATCTAGGCAGGATAAGTTCCAACCACCAAGTTCAAGGGAGGCAGAACTTTAAGCTTTAAATAAAGAGGTACTTGTATTTGCAGTCTGGAACTCCAAGACCTGTTGTGGTGATTGTTCTGCTTTGCACATGCTGTACTGAATGTTGGAGGAGACATTTGTACAAGAGAAACTGCTGCAGTTCCCAAAACTAACTCTTTCTTATCCCAATGTGATTACGATATATACTCAACTGACTTTATTGGGTTTTGGGTCAGGTTTCTGATTAATGTTTATGTATCTACCAAGCCAACAGAATTGATATATCTACTTTTAAGCTCCTAAATTTTGCTAATGGTAAAAATATCAGCAAAAATAAAATCAGGAACTAAATAACTTGCTGGTTATGAGGATAGAGATGTATCCATGTATTTTAATGTTACAGTCAAAAGGGCTATAGGGGAGGGTTGCATATTTTTGTTTCTCTGTTAATAATGTTAATCTTCCAGAGCAATCACTGCTGTATGATAAATTAGTATAATAAAGAGCACAGAAATATTGTGTCCATTTATATTATGCCTTACATTGGCATAATGTTGTGAGAATTAATACAGGACTTAAAAATTCTTTATATTTTCCTTGTAGTTTATTATTCATTTTAACATCCTCATTTTTAGCTGAAAAATCAATGCAGTCAAATGTTATGCCAAGTTATAGAAGAGTTTGTAAAGTTCAGTGACTTAGATTTCAGATAACTTTATGTAACATGTTTAATAATAGTACTTTAATATTATAAAGAGACGCTTTTTCTTTAAAATTGCGAAGTTACTGCTTCTTACTGTTTCTATTAAAAATTTCCCACACTTGTTCAGCACCTTGGAAACTGAGCTTATTTTCTTTCAATTATCAAGTAGAAATATTATAAAGGAAAGGGTTTGTTTTGGAACACTGTTCCCTAATTGGGTGGAATGAATGGATGATACGCAGAGACTGTCAGGGAATTAACCTGCATCTCTCACAGAACTTGCCTGTCTTGACTTTTTCAGGGTTTGTTCTGGATTTGCATTGTTTTGAGTCATCTAGACTAGGAATGTGGCTAACGTTTAGGTATAGCTTTTGTTGTAAAAACCAGATAATTAAATCTAAAACACAACCGGTAGAATACTCCATCTTACTAAATGCAAAAAAAAATAACAAGATTTGACTCCAGTTCAACAAAACTTCAAGTAGAAGATCAGTCTGTGACCTTCTTAGTTAAAAATACAGATATTCACAGGTATACTAAAATTGGAGCCTGTGTTTCTTCACTCTTTGTATTAAATTTCTAGTTTTGCACTGAGCTGGTACACCGTCGTAACTGTGAGAATTTTACTTTTTTTTTGGGTATTTTTCATTTGAGTTATTTCCTTTCAAATCTGAATGTTTCTGTCTTTATGTAGCGGTTCAAAGTGAAAGAAAGCCTTTTGATGTGCAACGTGAAAAACCAACCAACTGTGCAGCTTCTACTGAAAAAATCTATATAAGAAAGGATCTGCGAAGCCCTCTTATAGCAACTCCAACATTTGTGGCAGATAAAGATGGGACACGGTGAGTATCTCAGTTGCATTTGTCTTCTTCCAGGTTATTTGTGTATATTACTTCGCAGTCACATATGTATTTTGTTTCCCCTCTAAAGAATTGGACAGAGAAGAGGTCTAACTCATATGTCATCTTTTTCCATTACCAAGCCCAGTTTAGGTTCTGCTTTTCATGGAAGTTTGTCTGTCTAAGTGCAAGTGTGTGGTTTTCAGTTCAGAGCTAGCTCTTGTCCAGCCAGGTCAGAGCGAAGGCAGGGCAAGTAAATAATATTAAAGCAAAAAGCATCTGGGCTAATTCTGTGATGCATTTGGGTTAGCACTTCTCTGAAGTCAGATCTGCTATTGACAGACTTTGGCTTCCTTTTCCTAAAGACAGTAGTAAAAGAGACTGCAAAGACTGTCAGTTCCAATCCCAAGAGGTTGGTTTCAACAACAGCAAAACAACAGCAGCTTCCTTTTGCTATATGGGAGATGCTCCAAGATGGTTCCTGCTCTCTCAGATGTCTCCAAAGGCTGTGGGTGTGGAAATGCACATCACTACAGAGGCAAGATTTGTCTCTTTCTGAATAGAATAAAAAAGAACTTTAGGCTAAACATGACATTTCTAAAACTGTAGTTTACAAATGGTTAAGAACTACCTAAAAAATTGGATCCTATTATTCAGTTTTCATATATATATAATTGTTGAATTTTATATATATATATATATACTGTTGAACAAATGACACTTCAGTTAAGAAGATTGGGTTGCAAATTTCTTGAAGAATGGTTTTTTGGTGTTCTCATTTGCAAGTCATATTGTTCAAAAATGCTCACAGACACATTTGCTTCTTTGAGACTTCCTTGTGCTACAGGTCCCTTACAGACCTATAACCAATATTATAGTCTTTCAGTACGACATTCAGTTATTTATGTAGGATTCAGATTTGCATAATGCATGATAATTTGCAGCCTGTGTTCATTCACTGTAACTTGCTGCAGCCTGAACCTGTGTTGTGTGCATTGGTATTGTATTATGGAGACTTGGAGCATCATGTAAGTAATAAATAAACTTCTTACAAAGACTTTCTGCTGTCTCCCTAAATTAGATGCAGCAAAGGGAAAGGATGTTTGATCAAAAAGTAGCAGAAGTAAAGGCAGCAGAGATTTTATGCAGACCTTGATTACATGGTTGTTTCTAACTGTATTTTGGAATGTAAAATATACTTTTATGACTTTTTCTTCAATGCTGTCCATCGTCTAACTTGGAATGCACAGTTATGCCTTCCTCCAAAGTGTCATGTATAACTTGAGAGCTACTAGGTGACTTCTGAGAGTATGAGAAGACAACTTTTCTTAAAGCAGAATAAACCAGAATACAAAGCAAATGAGAGGATATGTATTTGGGAAGTTGTCATTGCTTTTGCAAAGGAAAGGAAAAGATATTCCAGTCTTTCTGTCTTTCAAGTTACTTTTTGGAAACTTTTTCAGAAAGACTGAAGTCCTGATGAATAAACTATGAGCTTCATTAAATTTTTAAAATCTTGTTTTATTCTGTCATAGGTAGTTACACATTCTTCTGATTAACGTACAATACCGTTGACAATCAGATGCCTTATGCTTTTGAACAGGTCAGCAGGTCTTCTTGATCCTGGAATGCTTGTGAACATTCAGCAGCCTTTGATCAGGGATGATGGTACAGTCCTCCTAGCTGCTGACTCCAAGGTATTACTCTTTCAGTTCAGTTCTGAACATACATATTGATTTGCTCGGATTATTTTAGCAATTGTTATGTAGACTCAAATAGTTGTTGCTCTTGAGAAGAGGTTGTGGGAAGTCTAAAGAACTTTACAAAGGGAGGTAATAAACTGATTAATAGGAACATGGTTTCTTTACACAAGCATGTTTCTGCAAAAGGTCAGCCACAGGCAGTTTCCCTTATGATACCTCCTCTGGGACTAGGATTGATAATTACAGTAGGATTTAAAGATCTTTGAAAGCCGTTGTTCTTCCTGTAGGCATTCAGGAGGAAGGAAAAGGTACATAAGGGAAAAAATGCAAAAAGATTAAAAAATGGGGAAAATTTATGTATGATACATCAACTGTAATTTTGATCTACTAATACTGTTCTTCCTTTTTAGGCTGAAACAAGCCAGGGTGCTTTAGGAACACTAGCTAATGTTGTAACATCTCTTGCTAATCTCAGTGAGTCACTGAATAATGGAGATACTTCTGAAGTTCAGCAAGAAGAGCAATCCGCAAGTGAGATTACACGGTATGCATTATATTTGCACTTAATTTAGCAATTTGTGTTCTGTATGATGTATCCTTACACTTTCACTGAAGGAATTTGGTATTGTGACAGCAGACACAGTTCAGATTGTCCCTACTTTGAAACACAAAGCTGATTCTTTAGAAATAAAGTTTGGCTGTTGTCTTCTTGTAAAGAACTGTGTCCTGCGTTACAAATACAGCATTCTGAATTTAGCCTAGGTTTCATTCTCAGGAAAGTAATGAATTACTAGTTTGTGACTTTGAAAGACTGAGAATAGCAACACTTCAGTGCTGTTTAATTTCACAGGCGTGTTTTATGTAAGGTTCTTCTGTACAATGTTCAATGCCCCTAGCCCTGCTCTTTAGGGGTCTTTATTACTGCAGATTCATTTTTGAGATTGTACTGCCAAAAAACCTGCTAGTAATATATGTTTAGAAAGAGTTTGAAGTCTTTGTTGTCTTTATTAATGAAAAAAATATGAAAAGGGAAAGTGGAATATTAAAATTTCCAGCAGAGCTTGAGATTTGCATGGCTGGGGTTTATTTGTTTGGTGGTTTTTTGGGGGAAAGTGGGGGTTAGGTTGAATTTAGCAGTATAGGAAAATAAGAAAAATACTTGGCCTCAGAGCTGTTCATTGTTTCTCAAAAAGAAGATTTTTAAGAGGAGCTTAACTAAGGCTTTTAAGCCTTTTATTTAAGTGAGTGAATTGATACTTAAAAATACTGGACACTGCAACTTCGACATTGTCAACCTCGTACTCTTTCTTTAAAGTAGAAAAAAAAAATTCTGAAAAACCATCCCCGAAACGTCTTGATAAAAATAGTGGCAAAACAGCACTATACTGTAATACTGTCCACTGGTATGAAATTGGAGCAGAAAATTTTTCTTTACATCTAAACTCTGTTATCCTAAGGGAATTCACAGTGCTTTATTTGGGCACTGATCCAGCAACAGCGTGAGTATAAAGATGTCCAGGGACCAGACTCTTTGATGTTACTGTCATAAGGATTCTAAGGCTCTGACTGCACTCTGAGATCAGGAGTGCCTGGCCATATATCATCTTAAGGGAAAGAAATTCAGGCACATTGTCTAGAAGAGAACCATATTATTCTCCACTGTTCCAAAAAATTGGACATCAGAAACAGGGATAAGGACAGGGATTCTGTTCTCCAGAGTACATCTGGTTTGTAATCCTCACCTAGTGTGTGAGAAGGTGAGAAAGGGGGAATAGTGAATGGGAAGTGCAAAAGAATTGTTGTTTAAGCCCAGACAACAACTAAGCCCCTCAGCCACTCACTCACCCCCCCACCAGTGGGATCAGAGAGAGAATCAGAAGGGTAAAAGTGAGAAAACTCATGTGTAGATATAAAGACAGGTCAGTAGGTGAAGCAGAAGCCACATAACACAAGCAAAGCAAAGGAATTCATTCCCTGCTTCCCAGGGGCAGCAGGTGTTCAGCCATCCCCAGGACAGCAGGGCTCCGTCACACATAACAGTTATTTGAGAAGACAAAAGCCATCACTCTAAATGTCCCCCCACCTTATTTACTGAGCATGGCATCATATAGTATGGAATACCCCTTGGATCAGTTGGAGTCCCAGCTGTGTCCCCTCCCAACTTCTTGTGTACCCCCAGCATCCTCACTGAAGGGTGGCATAAGCAGCAGAAAAGGCCTTGACACTGTGGAAGCCCTGCTCAGCAATAACAAAAACATCTCTGTATTATCAACACTGTTTTCAGCACAAATCCAAAACACCACCACGTACTGCCTACAATGAAGAAAGTTAACGCTACCCCAGCCAAAACCAGCACAGCACAAGACCCCTTTACTAGTACAAATACTAGGATAAAACTATCAGAGCAGAATTTACAGTAGTAAATCCTCCCCTACAGTGATGATCTCTTACCAGTGATATGTGGACAGATCTATTCCTTTTATTAATGTCCAAAGAGTACAGAGGGACCAGATTGTAATGAAAAGTCAGACCTTGTGTCTTAGCATAAACAGTTCCTGTGTATGTACCTCTAAGTGGAAATGCTTTATAGTGTTTAATTTGAGCACTACTCTGAATTTTTTTATGGTGTAAGGATGCGCTTTTCATTGTTTATTTATTTATTATTTTCTAAGGGCATTTGATACTTTGGCTAAAGCACTTAATACCACAGATGGTACAGCAGCTCATACCTTGGCAGATGGGATGGATCCTACAGGAGGAGGGAATATTCATGTAATCAGTAGAGATCAGTCAACACCAATTATTGAAGTGGAAGGGCCCCTGCTTACAGATACACATGTCACATTTAAGGTATGTGCTTCTTTAAACATCAAACTAAGACTTAAGATGTATGAGGTCTCTCCCACATAATTTCTTGTTTCCTATTCCCAATTTGCATTCCTTGCCCACAGTAATGACTTATTTGTCATAGTTTTCATTCAGCGATTTCTTGTCACACAGTTGCTTGTGACTATGAGAGTAGTCTGAATGTTTTTGCTGGTTATTTCATTGATAATAAAAAACGGTTAGTACTGTACTTGTATTTTTTGCAGCTGACAATGCCCAGTCCAATGCCGGAGTACCTTAATGTGCACTACATCTGTGAGTCAGCATCACGACTCCTTTTCCTGTCTATGCACTGGGCTAGGTCCATACCTGCATTTCAAGCTCTTGGGTAAGTGAACATATCCTGTTTGAATAGTTTGCTTTTGAATGAATTTAAGCACTGATCTGAACACTTTTCAGCTATTTTGAATTTTTTAGTTATGATATTGTTTAATTTTTAATGCATTTTTAAAGTGTGTGAAGGCTATGCAGTATTCTCTGTTTTGAAGAATAAAATAGAAGATGGCAGAGGGGAGGATAACTACAATATCTGATGTTACTGTGATTACAGAAACTAAAGGCAAATCAAAAGTAAGAATTAATTTGTAAAAATTAAGTGATTGCTTTTGTTATCTTGCTAAAGAACTGATGAGCACCATTTCACAGATAACCTTAAATGGTTTCCTGTAGTTTGTATGTAATTTCTTTTTGCTTTTTGAAATACTTGTAGTATGTTAATAACATGCCTTTTAGTAAAATGTTTTGCAATGCATTAATTCTTATTCTTAATTGTTATAAATAACATAATTACACATAGAGTAATACCAACCTGATATGCAAACTACCTAGAGTTGACTTTCTGCTGTTTACAGGCAAGACTGTAATACAAGCCTTGTGCGTGCCTGCTGGAACGAACTGTTTACCTTAGGCCTGGCACAGTGCGCACAGGTGATGAGTCTGTCTACCATCCTGGGAGCTATTGTCAACCACCTCCAGAACAGCATACAAGAAGGTATGTTTTCAGTCCTGCTAACAGTATAGAGATTTGTGCTTTCATTCTTATCTCAAGACTTGCAAAAATGCTTCTTCCATTCATGCAATTTTTTCATTGCAGGTTCGGAAAGTAGGAAAATACTAATAAACTACATCAAAGATTCAGTTTAAGGGACATGGAGTCTAAGCAGTCATGTATACTGTTAGCTGTACAGACAAAGATAAAATATTAAAGTTATATGAAATACTAGCATTGGAGATTATGACAGAAATAAAATTACTCTAATGTGTTTTTCAAGAAAAGGTTTTATCCCTTGCGAACTGACTGACTTCTGAAGTTTGATAGTAGTAACTATATATTCAAAGATTTGTCTTAATCTATTCTCTAATGTGTTCATTCCTTGACTAGTCTGCAGATACGCAGTCCAAGAGAAGGTATATTGACCAAAACAGAAACCTCTCCCTTCCCTAGCTTAGCAGCTATTACCACTCACTTGTAACTTAGCCATAAATAAGATACATTTTTAAAATAAAAGTTCTAAGAAGAAATACGAACCCAGCATAAATGATGTGATCTTTCAAATGATAGAAGGATCTGTGTACATGTATTTCAGTGAATTTACCCCATCAGAAGGAAAAAAGATGTATTTACCATAGCTGATGAAAAATTTACTCCTAAAAGTACAGACGGAGGAGAAAGTAACACTGTCACTACTGTTCTTGCATTCACTTCTGGAAAATCTAACTCAATACTGTTTGAATTTAAAATTAGGATTGCATGATAGCGTTTCTTCTGTGCTTCTGTTCATTCTCAGAATCACTCTAGCCATTTGCAGCATCATAGAATCAGCCGGGTTGGAAAGGAACTCTGAGATCATCAATTCCAACCCTTGATCCATTACCACCATGGTTCCCAGACCATGGCATTGATGCCACATCCAGTCTCATCTTAAAAACCTCTGGGGAGGAGAATCCACCACTTCCCTGGGCAACCCATTCCAATGCCTGATTACCCTCTCTGTAAAAAATTTTTTCCTAATATCCAACCTAAACCTCCCCTGGCACAGCTTAAGACCGTGCCCTCTTGTCTTACTGATAGCTGCCTGGGAGAAGAGACCAACCCCCACCTGGCTACAACCTCCTTTCAGGGAGTTGTAGAGAGTGATGAGGTCCCCTGAGCCTCCTCTTCTCCAGGCTCAACAACCCCAGCTCCGTCACCTCTCCTCATAGGACTTGAGAGTCCCTTCACCAGCCTCATTGTTCTTCTCTGCACCTGCTCCAGCACCTCAATATCCTTCCTGAACTGAGGGGCCCAGAGCTGGACACAGCACTCCAGGGGTGGCCTCACCAGTGCTGAGTCCAGGGCAAGAATCACTTCCCTGCTCCTGCTGCCACACTCTTCCTGATCCAGGCCAGGAGGCCATTGGCCCTCTTGGCCACCTGGGCACACTCTGGCTCATGTTCATCTTCCTGTCAATCCAAACTCCCAGGTCCCTTCCTGCCTGGCTGCTCTCCAGCCACTCTGTGCCCAGCCTGTAGCGCTGCAGGGGCTTGTTGTGGCCAAAGTGCAGGACCTGGCACTTGGACTGGTTGAACCTCATCCCCTTGGAACCAGACCATGGATCCATCTTGTCCAGGTCCCTCTGCAGAGCCCTCCTGCCTTCCAGCAGATCAACATTCACCCCCAGCTTGGCGTCATCTGCAAATTTTCATATAATTCACCATAATTTGAGAATCTCTGCTCAGAACAGTGCATCACTGGAAAAAGATTGGTGTTGCAGATTATGTTATCCTGGCAAAATTACAGAGAAGTTAACATTCTGTTTGCTAGCCCTGTGTCTGACTCAACTTTATAAATCTTTGCTCCCATAATAATTTAGGCCATCCTTATATGCTAAGTGGTTTTAAGACAGCAAAAGACTTGAAAGGATCTCTTGACTTGGTTGTTGATATATCAGAAGTGCTTGAGCTCACATGAAATAGTAAGCAATATCTTTTTGCAGATAAACTTTCTGGAGACAGAATTAAGCAAGTCATGGAACACATCTGGAAACTTCAGGAATTCTGTAACAGCATGGCCAAGCTTGATATTGATGGATATGAATATGCATACCTTAAAGCTATAGTCCTTTTTAGCCCTGGTAAGGAATTCAGTAACCATATCTCTTTAAATAATAAGCATTAATATATTAATGTTTTAGCATTTTTTTAAATGAGACTGTGATTGTTTCGTAATGATTGCTACAAACAATATGTTTTAAAATAACCTTGAAGCAACATATCCACGTTATTTACAGTTCCAATATGTCAGGTGTTTCCTGTACATCCACCTTGGAAGACTAGACTCTCAAGTTACCTTCAGCTGGGAATCTATGAGTAAAAAGTGATCTGGGATGTGTAGTAGCAATATTAGTGCCGTAAATGGTGGGAAGGATTAAAGGAAGTACATTCTCAGAGTGACAAAAAGAAATTTGCTTTAATTTTTATACTCTTATAAGAGGAATAGCTGAAGTATGAGCAGAAATATCACTCTTATTTTATATGAAAATTCCACAAAATCTCCGAAACTAAACGTAAACAGGCTGTTTTCCATTTGTTAGCAAAAAAAAATTCAACAGGTAAAACTAAAGTATAATCAAGTTTTTATGAGATATGAGGATTTACTCAAAGAAGGCACTTGATTTTCTGGAATGGTAAGGTAAGTATATTAAAGAAATTGGAAGTGACAGTCTTTTCAGCAAAGTGGAAAAATGTTTTTAGGGCACACAAATGTTAATCTAAAACTGCTGACAGGCTGAGTGAAAGGGAAACTTGTTCAGAAATGTATATTATTTATTTTAATTCAAAGGTTTTTACCACTTTGAATTTAACAAAATAAAAAGGAAAGGGATATCTTGTTATTGGAGTGTTTGGTTTTGGGGTTTTTTTACATTAATATTATTTTTCTTTTTATAATAAAACTTAATAAGAAGATATCGGTGTCCTAAAATGTTCTTTTGCCTTTTTTTTGTTTGTTTGTTTTTGCAGATTGTCCCATTAGGATTAGGTTTATTAGAGTTTTTATTCAAGTTGTTAAAGCGAGAAACTCTCCTAACTCTCCAAAGGTAGCTCTGTCCTATTTCAAGGGACAAGCAGTTTGGACACAACAGTGAAGATACGTGGGCATAGTAAGATAGATGATATTTTATGGGTTTGGGCTTTTTTCTGAGATCATGTGACTGTCTGAGGAGCTGAGCCAGCTGGAATTAAAACATGAGACAGACTTTGGAAGGTTAAGAAATTGATTTGTCAAGAAAACAACTCTAGGTATTGCTCAGTCACCATGGTTAGAAAAAAATCACAGAGGCAAACATTTAAATTTAAACCAGCAAGGTTAGAAACATAAGCTCAGAGTATCATTGCCTGGTACATACCTACAGGCCTAATCTTTGTCCACTTTCTTGTGGATAACATACAACTATGGAGAGAAAAGTGAACAAACTAATTCTGAAGCCAAGAAGCAAATGTTCAGCTGAGTGGTTTCCTTTATACAGGTAACATATTAAACATCACAATAGCAGAGAAATATTTCATTGAAATTAAATGTGAGAATCTTATAAATACATCTCTTTCACAATGTATAGGGAACCAATCGACATACAGAAATGTTTTGTTTCTTTAGATCATCCTGGTCTGACCAGTTCAACCCAAATAGAAAAATTCCAGGAGAAGGCACAGATGGAATTGCAGGACTATGTACAAAAAACCTATCCAGAAGATACTTATAGGTATTTATTGTCTATAGTATCCAAAGTAACACTGTGGGCCGTAGCTAACAAAAGTACCAAATAATATCATTGATGTAAAAAAATTTCCTTTTTGACATCTGGGGTTTTATTGACTGTTAATGAAAAAGAACTAGAACCTCATTCATAAAAGCAAGCAGGTTTTGCTTAAGCAAAAGGTATGTTTAAAGATACGTAGAAGCAAGAACAGTTGTCTAGCTTCTTCTGTGTAAATTTAATTTATGAGTATTTTCTTATTTTTTGAAGGGTTTCTTTGAGTCTCATTGTCATGGTTAGAAAAGTAAACAGACTTTATTAGAAGTCTTGAGAATAACTGCTTCAGCTGACCCGAACTGTAATTCACACTGTCTTGTTTTTCAAGTTATTATCTCAAAGCCTCTTTGATGACTAAAAGGTGATTATCAACCTTTAAATGTTTTTCAAGTTACATATGCAAAGAAGTTTTAAAACTATCAGTTTATAGATCTTGGAAAAACAAGGATGACATGTAACAGGGAACAGTAACCAACTCTTAAGATTCTGTTTGTAAGAAATTCCCACATCCTCCTTATTTTCTCCTTTAGCTTTTTTTTTTTTTAATTAATTTCAAAGGCCTTATCTTTGAAATTATCTAGGTTGGTTTTTTTGTCTCTCAATTGTTTCTGTTTCTTATTTGCTAGAAATGGTTATCCTATTTTCTAACAATCTCCATCAAAACAGTTTCAAAATTCATCAACACAATGATTCTTTGCATTACCAGGCAAATTCTAACTTCTATCTAACAGTGTATCCTGTGAAAGGTATCCTCATCTAAAGAAGCAATCCCATACATTTAGGCAAGGTCTGAGGGTGATGTAATGAAAAAACCCACAAACAAACAAAAAACCACCCCAAACCTGTCTGTAAAGAAGAGAGCTTCTCTGGTTTCTGCACTGGTCTTAGAGTTAACATTTTGTGGTGCAGTGAAGATGGCATTCCCTACCATAGAAATATCCTCAAATCCCACATTCTTCTGTTTACAATTCAATCACTTTGTTTTAATTTGTGAGAGCTGGATAGTTGCCATAAAAGTAAATACAGAATTTGTTCCATAGACTTACTTCTCTAAACAGTGGCTCAGGAAAGAAAATCAGAGTTATATTCCACAAGCAGTAATCTGTATTTTGACTGATAGTGTCTGTATCTCCATGCTCACCAACAGACAAGTGTAGAAAACAAATCTGATTATTTTTGAGCAACTGAATGCTGGCACAAATTGAGATAGAAGACAAGTGTTATAAGTTTCACAAAATCAACAGCATAGCTTGAATCTTTTTTCAGCTTTGCCCTGAAGTTTACAAGATATGTATATAGGTGTATTAGTAGAATGGACCTTTTATATTTTGTCCATAGATATTCAATCATTTTCCAGAGCACCTGTGGTCAGTGCTGCCTAAGGTTTTCTATTACATGGTTCTTGTTCAGAAAATTTATTTGGTTTGGCATTCATGATGTACATTTGCCATATAAATGACAGTAAAATGCTGTCCTTAATTTCATATGCACGGAAAGTCCATCAACTCAATACAATCACTTTGTTATATTGGATATCTGTTAACTAAATAACTCGTAAATAAAACCCCACAGCATTTGGCAATATATGTGTGCTTAACAGCACATCACCCCAAATTGCTTTTCTCATTAGAAGCCGATTCTCTTTTTTCCTTTTATATTTACTCAGCCCCGTTCTTGCTATCTGGTTTGGCATGAAGTTGCTAGGCAACTGAGTACTATGCTGTTTATGGCTGAAGTCTTAATTAAGCATTTTACTCTTAAAATTGTGAAAATGTTCGCACTAATCAGTATGAATATTAGTCTCAGCATTGTCCTTCCTGAGTTGGGAATTTCAGAAACAGGCCAAGAGAATTGTGTGTTTATACATACATGTTCTATCTACAAAGGGCATTAACGTGTCTCTTTCATTGGCAAACCACAAAACTACTTGGTGGCTTTTCCTTTCACTCTCAGGATAGAAAGGTGGCCATTTTTTTGTGGCAGCCAATTACCTTTAATTGCTTCTTTACTCCCATTCATGAGTTAAGGTAATAATAAAAGCAGATCCAGCTCTTTAGCCACAAAGTATCTTAAGCTGGTTTTATATGTATTTATAATCCACTGAACTTCTCTTTCAGGCTAGCCCGGATCCTAGTTCGCCTGCCAGCACTTAGGCTGATGAGCTCTAGCATTACCGAGGAACTGTTTTTTACTGGTCTCATTGGAAATGTTCCCATTGACAGCATAATCCCCTACATTCTCAAAATGGAAACAGCAGAGTATAATGGTCAAATAACTGGCACATCTCCATAGTGGGAACAATGCAATTCCACGGATACAAGTAATTTTTGTAAAAAACATATAATTATGAAGTTAAAAGAATAGCATTTTGGTTTGTGCAGATAATTCCAACTTGTTATCAGTTTCCTGAACAGATTTCTCCTTGTCTGTTTCCTGATGTTGACAAAATTTAAGCAGCTATTAAAAGACCTGCTATAGGACCTTTTCTGCCACAAGGAATGTTTTTGCTGCCTTTCATTTAAAAGGCTATAGATTACTGAACATACTTTTCACATGCTTTGTATTTAGAAATTATCAGTGGTTAAAAAGAGTTTTATAATATCAGAGATTAGTAATAAAATTACTTTAAAAATAAAAAGAACAGTATGTATATATTTAAAAATATCCTTGGAATTAATGTCTAGTAAATGCCGGGTATAATACTAGCACTTTGTAGTCATTTCTTCTCAAAGTGACAGCATCATCAACATCCTGCTTATAAGTATGGAAAATGAAAAAAATGCTTATGTCCTTAGTCAAAATGCCAGTGATTTTTGTGAAAATGTAGAATGCTACAGGAGACAATCATTTATCTACAAAGAGTCACTTGCTCTTATGTTATGCATGAAGTATTAATGTGGATTCTTAAATCAGATATCCACATTATATGAAACTATAAACTGTTAAATTAGTGCAGTTGTAATTTATAGTACAATGCAGTCATAGTACCTATTATGTGCTACAGGAATTACCCCACACCACAGTAATGATGAAATACTCAGGTTCCTTAAAGTGTATATTCAGACCAACACAGTCATGACAAATGTTATTCTAAACTGAAGCCTTTTGACTGTGGGGAAAATCAGTCATTAACTGGAAGAAAAATAATTTTCAATTAGAGCTGTGTGATGCTTTTTGAGTATGCTCTTTGTATTTCCAAATTTACTCCTTCTTTCTGTACTCCTGAATGCCCTCATCATCCAGCCACAGGTACAATTTAAAACCTGAGATGTGTAGAACCTGTGGCTGTCAGCAAGAATATATTACAAAGCTCTCTTACTTTATTAACTCCTCACCTCTTTCTCCCTCCCTCACTGAGCACTGCCAGTTTTGCAGTGCTCTCGACCTTCCTGTGACTCAGTTTCAAACCAAAATACAGTTAGGATTTACTCTCAGTCATGTACAATTGCAGTTAATGACTGATATACCATGGAGTTATAAAATGGACTACTTTTTAATTTTCTCGAGTGATGAGCCATCAACATGTTTTCTAGGATTGGTCATTAGCTGCTAGCATAGCTTTCATTTTAGTATAGTTTATTATTATGAAGTTCAAGTATTTTAATATAAGTTTTTTTAAAAATGTCATGGCAATTAATACCTTCATCTGATCCTGGCTCATTAGATTCGTCAGTTATTTTATTTGTATTGTAGAGGCATGTTTACTTTTGTAGTTTTATGTGACAGAAATCTCATGATACGTTCAGCACTTTTGTTTTTCTTCTGTTACTCATATTTATTTAGAAACATCACCCAGGTTGGTGTTTGTGTCTTTTCAGAGTCTGAATTGGAGCCAAAAGATCTTAAGCAGCTCTAAATGAGTCTTCTGAAGTAATAAAAAGTCCTGACCTGGTATACTTCATGCTCATCCGGGGGCTCACATTTGTAGCACTCACTGGAACAGAAGGCTATTTAATTTTAGCTTCTGGATGTATTAATGTCTTTTACAGTTACCATTGTTAGTGCATTCAGAGTCTTCTCAGAAGGGTGTTACAAATAGTCCAGTATACGTGCAGAGATTTGTAATATTGCACTTTTATTTCTCTTGGCTTTTGCTATAGCAAATAAAATTGTCGTGTTATTAATGTGATGGAAAATCTGTCCTCTGCATGTGAAGTTAGCTGGACTGCAGAATTGAGTACCAACCATTTGATTGTAGTGTCCCTGCTGGTGGGATTGTGTCAGAACTTCTGATGTACAGTCCCTGTGTTAAGGGTACACAGCTTAAAAATCAATGGTGATATTAACATCAGAAGTAGTACCTGCCTTGGAAGGAGTTGGGGCTGTTTTTGTTAAAAAACAGGTCATGTCATTGTTCTAAAAGCAGAATGCATTGAACTATTGTGACATTTTTCATTGCAAAAAAGGAGATAATGGAGTTTGATTTTCTTTCAGTATTTCATAAAAATCATTTAAGCAGATAAGTAAGCATTGTTAATGGCAAATTAAATATTCTTTAGCACAAAAATTAGCCATCAGAATATTTGTTTTTAAATCTAAACACACACCAGATGGCTTCGTCTTTACAAACATCATTTCAACTTCTGATTTTTCACGTAAAAGGGCCCCATTTTCTATACAAAAACATTTTCCTAATTTCTGTTACTTGTGCTGTGATCATAACAGTTCAGCAAACAAAGGCAGTACAATTTTTGGGGGAACAGAGGGATCACATGAAATAAAATTTAAAATATATGCCTTGCATTGCATTTGTAAACCAAAATGGTAAGTATCATGCAGCTCTGTTTACAAATAAAGTATACTCCCCACAAATGCAAGTCCACATAATGATCTCCTTGGTCAAACGCTGGTAGTCACTTACTCCGCGAATAGTTCCCTGCTTGTTAGGGATAAAATATTAATTTTTGTAAATTGAGTAACAACCATGCAGTCATAGGTAGGTTTTATTTATTGTGCATGCATTTAATAGTGTTTGCTGCTGTTTGAGGGAACCTCCTGTGTTTCAGTCTGTGGCCACTGCCTCTGGTCCTGTCACTGGGCACCCCTGAGAAGAGCCTGGCTCCATCTTCTTTGTACCCTCCAGCTACTTGTAGACATAGATGAGGTCCTCCCTGAGCCTTCTCCAGGTTGAACAGTCCCAGCATTCTCAGCCTTTCTTCACAGGAGAGATGCTCCAGTCCCTTATCATCATTTTTTTGAACTCTTGGCAGCAGTGTGTCTCTATCGCTCTTGTACAGACACAGCACTCCAGGTGTGGCCCCACCAGTACTGAGTAGAGGGGGAGGATCCCCTCCCTCAACCTGGTGGCAATGTTTTTTGCCTGATGCAGCTCAGGACACCATTAGCCTTCAGCAGAGCAAGGGAGCATTTCTGACTCATGTTGAGTTTGGTGTCCCCTGGGTCCTGCAGGTCCTTTTCTGCTGACCTGCTTTCCAACATATGTGGGTTCCTGGGCTTGTTCCTTACCAGAGATAGGACTTTGTGCTTCCCCTTTTTGAATTTCCTGAGGTTCCTGTCAGCCAATTTCTCCAGCCTGTCGCGATGCCTCTTGGTGGCAGCGGGACCTGGTGGTGCATTAAGCAGTGGAGCTGCTAATCTAATGGTGATCTGGGTGTTATGTAGCAGTGGAGCTATTTTAGCTTGCTCAAAGAAATCTTTTCCTTCATATCTATCAGAAGATAGATCTTCAAAAGGCACAGAACTGATGAAGGAATTCTTTCTGCCAACAGTATAGTCATTTTTTGGTAGCCATAGAAAAGGCAAATCTGAGGAAATTGAGCCTCAGTCGTTTGGGCTCTATGTATTAACCTTCAACATTATTTTCAGCCTCTTCTGGTGATTGCACTTTTGGGCTGCTCTGACATAAGGTAGAACAGTGCACACAGTACATCTGCAGGCAAGTTTTACACTGTCTCTGCACAAAGTACTACAAGGCTGATGTAGTTCTTGTAATTTCTGAGCTTTGTTTCATCTCTTCTACAGTGACTGGAAGATGGTAACAGGCTAATCTTAGTAGCTTCACTTTTAAATTAATTAGTTTTATTTTGTTTCTCCTTTGAAAGGGCAAACATTTCCTTATGGATATGGAACAGGAGAGTTTTTTATTATTGTAACAATTATTGAAAAACTGTTTCTTGATTATTAAATATAGAAATAACTTGTTTTCCTAGAGGCCAAATTTAAATGCCAAACTTGTATTTGTAAAACTTGGAGTCAAAGGATCACAGCTGCAAAGTGATTCTAAGAAAAGTTCATCTCACTGAAGCTCTAGTTAGTGCCTAAAAATCACTTTCTCCAGAATTTTTGAGGTCCTGTTTCTGCAACTCTTGAAATGAAAATATTTTAACTTGGTAGAAGTACAGTGATAAACTATCTGATTAGATTTATCTGAACTTGAGCAAATGTGTATATTAGTCATAATTCATTCAGACAAATGGTAAAATTCTGTGGTGACTGAAACTGCGACATTCAGAGAATGATAATGAGGCAATAATGTTCACTGTGTGCTTCATTTGTTTTCCAACTCTTATGAGAAGGAACTGGATTTGCATCTTGTAGGTAAAAAGCATTTTGGGCTAGCTTTATAATACTGATTTTTATTGCATTTGTGACAAGTGCAAGAAGGTGTAGTACTTTTCTTCCCTTTATTTACTTACATTGGACTAGAGAAACACACAACTAACACCATGTGTAAAAGTCATCTTTCTCTGCCTATTTACATTTTTTATAAATTAGCTGCAATGCTTTTGGTGTCAGTGGAGTTACTCTGGCATGAAACTGGTAAAAGAAGAAAAAATTATCTTGAGGGAGAAATCCTTCTAAGGGATCATGTAAGCCTTTGTTTTAGCTGCCTTAAAATGTTAGATTATTAGAGAGGCCTAGTTTTCAGAGCACTCTGGGGCAAGAAAGTACTTTTGGTCTCCACTGATTACGTGGTGTCATTTACCAAGTCTCCTTTTACCATCTTCTGAAGACCCTGGCCCCCCAGGCAGCCACACTGGCTCCACTGGAGAGCTCTGACTCAAGGTCTCTGCAGAATGCAGCTGGCTCTGCATTGCCATTCCAGTCCCCTTTGTCAAAGGCACATTCTGAGGCTGTGACAGAGAAACCAAGTCAGGACTGAAGCTTCCAGGTGAAAGTAGTTTCCTGACTCTTGTTTCTCTTTTGACAGAAACTGTAAAACACTTCTGTGGTTTTTTTATTGTTGCATATAGTAGACAAGAGTCACAGATTCCTGAATGATTTCAGCTGTGATATTGCATGTGTCAGTAGATTTACCTGCCTATTAAAATTAAGACAATAGTTAGGATTCTTCCCTGATCACCTGCTGTTTAACTAGTAAGATAATTTAAAAAAAAAAGGGGGGGGCACCAAATAGCATGAGTAGCAAATGGTATTGGGAATGCAGTTTAGCCAGGAAGATGGAAGTGGAAATTACTGTGCTGAGGATACTGCCCAAGCAGTGCCAAAGCAGCTTCCTCCACTAACAACACCAGGCAGGGCCCTGTTGGAATCAGATGGTGTGAGCAGTGGAACTGGCAGGTCAGTCAGACATGCAGCACAGGTGTACTAGCAGATACCTACTGGATGATATCTTGAAAAGAAAAAAAAAATGCTGATTTTTCCATTTGAAATCCCTCTCTTCCCCTCCAGTTACTCTTTAGAGTGCAAAACCAGGGTAGGTTGGGGTTTTTTTCACCTACTCTTGTCCCTAGGAGAAAAAGCAGAAATGCCAGCAAACACAGGTAGGTTCCCATCTGTCTCCGGGCTTTGCCACACTGTCCCACACAGCCACAGAAGAGCTTTTGTAGCTGTGAGAGGAGCACACAACAGCTGCAGTCCTGCTGAGGCCATGGTCACCCTAGGGAGAAGAGAGATGAGCAGAGGACAGATTGCCAGCATCTGCTCGATCTTGAGTGACAGAAAATTAGTTTAAAAATCAGCTTTATATGAAAAAAGTTACTAAGAGGGCATGGCACAGGGAAGAAAATGAAAACATTTACTTTTTGCACCTTTTAATTCTGAAGTTGCTGAGTCATTTTAACAGTAAATATTCCTGAACTAAGTTCAGGTTTATTGTTTGATGAAAAATGTCATTAACCCCTCTTCTGTTAGATAGTTCTACAACCTTGCTTCAGTTGCAATCAGTGTTATCAACATTATAGTGGGAATTATTTTTGAAAAAAACTTAAAGCTTTATTTATAATGAGGTTGCACGTTAAAGTAAATTTTTTTGCAAACTTTAGATACTCTAAATATATTGGACTTGGAAAACATCAAAGCCCAGAAATACCTTATTACTGAGTTTTTTGTTGGGAAGTCATGCTAAGTTCATCACAGGTAATACTGTCATAATGTTCCATAATTCCCACAGCTGTTCTATGCTCTAAGTTAGATGAATGCTTTGAACATTGCTTATTATTGTTAAATTCATGCCTATCTCCTTTCTTTTTAAAGGGTTTCATAGAGTTGTATGTCTTTATTTTGTGCCTCCCACCATTGTGCATTTCTGCATGTTCAGTTGTAAAACTCACTCGAGCAGCTGATGCATATGTACATAGCTGTATGTATGTGTGTATGAATGTATATGTTTATACCTCTGCCTGAATATATTCTGTACAGTGTATAGAACCCCCCTAGTTTGTGTATATATGTACAGATGTGGAGCCACTATTCATCCATTCTATGTGCTAACGCTTTTCATTCACTTGCTAATCCAGAGCTTCCTTGCTTGCTTGCTTGCATTTCTTAGCCCAAACTAAACTTATCATCAAAGCAAATGAATCCTCCTGAATTTCAGAGCTTTGCAGATTTTTTCTAAGCCAGTCTGAATTCAGTATCTTCTGCTCAGAACTGACAAAGGTATTTCATGAATTTTCTGGCTTTTACCTTTTCTCATTTGACCTGTAGAAGCCTCTGAGTGAATAGTTAATTGAGCATATAATGGCTGTTAATAAATAACTACAGTCATAGAAAATACTTCTCTGCTTTCAATCCGTACTCCTTCTCTTTCAGCCTCCTGAGACACTCTCTTGTAAAGTTGCATTTTGCAATGAAGCTTGGTAAGAGATTGATACTTTTTTAAGCCTTTGGCAAATTGAAACCAAATCAACTTTCCATTTATCATTGAACTGTAGCACACAGAACAGGAGACAGTGAATGCTGTTTAACAAATCAATATTCATATTGCCATAGTGATCACATGAAACCAACCTGTGAGTTAAATACAGACTCTGTTCAGTGAAACAGGAGCTCTGGGACAGTGGTAATTAAATAGGAGAGACATTGTAGGTAGTTTATTGCTTAGCAAGCACTAAAACTTATTCAGGATTTTGACAGTGAACTTCAATTGTATACTCACTTTTCAAAGCTATTCTCTTTATTTTCCAGCTTACACTAAACAAAACTTGATTTAATTGTCAGAGTAATGTCCACGGCCTTGTTCTGTCCTTTGCTCGGCCTGGAATCTGCTCAGCTCCTGCACTGCATGTGACATTCCCCCTGTCCATGTGGGACCTGAGCACACAGTTGTGAAATGAGTTGTGCAGTAAGACAGTTTATTATTCATAAGGAGAATTCAAACATTTACATTATCAAAATATAAATACTTCTGATGAAGTTACAAAGGGAGCCTTCTGTAAAGTAAATGTATTAACTGTGGGGTTTAAAAAAGCATTTCACAAACCATATATGGAGTTCAGCAAGTCTTGGTTTTGTCATATTAAAAAGGTGATGCAGACTTTTCTGGGCATTTCTTTCCACTTCCTGTACTCCATGTGGCAAAGACTTGTGTATGTTTAGGCAGATAAGCAGACACCAGTCAAAATAATGTGAGCTTCTTGCATGCTTACATTATTTTATAAAGTGAACCGCAAGTCTGAGTCAGGCTTTGTGCTTGAAAGGTCTTTGCTGTGGAAAATGTTAAGAACGTTCTCTTCTGTACTGGCAATAAATATTTGTAAACTTTTGTTTCAAATTAGAAAAAAAGGGTAAGGTTTCAAAACTGAATTTTTGAGGTTTTCAGCAGGAAAAATATTTAAATTAATGGCAGGAATTCCTGTGACAGATGATCCTTCATTGGTCTGGACAATTGGTGATGTTTGAACTCTTGCTTTCCTCTTTAAAGGTGAATGGAAACCTGAATGTCTGTTAATGTTGTACTGCAGGAACAGTTTTAAAGGTTAGGAAGCTAATTGGGGTATTAACTAAGATTATTAAAAAATCAAATTTTGAGTTCAGAAAAAAGTGCGTATTTTAAAATTGTCAGATTGTTTTATATCCACATTTGAATTGTTTGGATTCTGAAAGATGAAATGTTCTCAAAAGTAGTGGCAATAAAGGCTCTGTGATAATAAAGCACAGGTCCATTTAAAGATTATTTTTGATGATCCTAAGTTAAAAGTAGGACTGAGTAAATTTCAAACAAAAAGAACAGTCTTTAAGAAGACAACATTTTACCTACAGACTGGATGTGTTAAATTTTTCATATATGGAATCAATGTTAAATGTTGGAATATTTTTAATAATTATTCTGTGCTCTGAAGTACATTACAAGCCAGTGTTGTTTCCTGACTGAAAACTGCACATTGTTTTATCTGTTTGGCATACCAGGGAGTGCTGAGCTCCTACAAAAAGCAAATTTTTATAAAAGGAAGCATCTACTTTTAATTCCTTGAAATATTTTCTGGATATCTTGGCTCATTACAATTTAGAAAACTAATGTTTATGTTATTTTATTTTTATTTCAAGTTAAAAACTTTGTAAAAGTTGTTAATTTCTCACAGCTTCTGTGAAATCAGCATTGTTGTGTGTGATAGCGTTTAAAAATAATGGCATGTTCTTTTTTTAATCTGAATTTTATATCTAATCAATGTATTCAGTCACAAAGAGGAATTTGCATTGTTGTGTTTGTATATAGAGTATTGCAGTGCATGATTTAGCTTATGCATTTTATTAAATGCTGTTTAAATGTGGCATTATATTATTGTGGTTAATACTAGCAAAATGAGGTTTATACCATTAAAGTGAATTACACGTGTAACTGCATTCTTGAGTTTTATTTTTAAGGTCACTATTTTCTCTTAAACAGGAGGTGTCTAAGCCAAATACATAATTTACTATCTTTTAGGGAGAAACAGGATTTTGCCTTCACTACTGTGATTATTTTATGAGATTTAACCGGGTCTGATACAGAAGAGAAATCCCATGAACTTTACTGACTCCAGGGAGCTGCTCTAGGAGGAGAGGAGGCTTTTCCTAAAGTTTTAATTCATCTTGAACAGACAAGTTTTTAGTAGCCACAAACCTGTAGCTGATGTGCGCAGGGCGCCCGGCCCTGCCAGGTGCGCGGACAAAGCGCGGGTGCCGCCGGGGCCGGGCGAGGCCCCCGCAGCCCCTGAGGCCCCGCCAGGGCCGCCGCTGACTCGGCCCGGGCCCCGGGCCCGGTCCTCGCTGAGGGCGCCGCCCGCCAGGGGGCGCGCGGGGCCGCTCCCGCCCCTTCCGGCCGCCGCCGCGATGCCCATGAAGGGCCGGTTCCCGGTCCGGCGGACCCTGCGCTACCTCAGCCAGGGCGACGTCGTGTTCAAGAGCGCGGTGAAAGTGATGACCGTGAACTACAACACGGCAGGAGAGCTGAGCGAGGGCGCGAGGTGAGCGCGGGGCGCGGCGGGAGCGCGGGCGGCCATTGCAGAGACACCGGGGCTTGCGTGGGCCGCGTCCTCGGCGGAGACACCGCGCCAGCCCCTATGTGCTTTTCTCATCTTTTCCAGAAAGTTCGTGTTTTTCAACATCCCCCAGATCCAGTACAAGAACCCCTGGGTGCAGATCATGCTGTTCAGGAACATGACCCCCTCGCCCTTCCTCCGGTTCTACCTGGGTAGGTCCCGCTCGAGCCGCGGGCAGCGGCGTCACAGCCGCGATCGTGTCGTTCTGACTCGGTGGGGAAAGGAGCTGCTTGTTGGGAAAAGCGGCTTTACCCCTCGGCCGCTCCCCTAGAATCGCCCTCGTGGAAATTCCGCTTTTCCACTTAAACCTTGCATCGTACGTTAACTGCAGCAGGGCAGCAGGTCTCTCTGTTGTGTATTTACAGCCTCTCTGAACAGTGTGTGGGAGGGAACTGGTACTATTTAATACAGGATTATGAATTTTTCTTGACAGACAACGGAGAACAAGTTTTGGTTGACGTGGAAGATAAAACCAACAAAGAGATAGCAGCGCACATTAAAAAAATCCTGGGGAAAAGCAAGTAAGTAACATGTAATAAGCTAACATACTGTCTAGCATACAGAATATAATGCTTGCAAACTTTTGTCAGGAATACAGAAGGAAATACTACTATTCCCAGACAAAATTGGCAAGAACTAGGTAAAGTTTGCAAGAACTGTAAATCTGTCTTTCTGGTAAACTGGGTCCAGGGAAAGGAGATGAAGAGCTGTGATTGAGGCTTCTGATAGTAACAAACAGATCTCTTTTCTAGAGAAACGCTTGAAAAAGAGGAAAGAGAAAGGAGAAAACTATCACATCCAGCAACTTTTGGGCCCAAGAAGTATCATCTGCGAGAATGCATGTGTGAGATTGAAGGCCAAGTTCCCTGCCCTGCTTTTGTGCCACTGCCCAAAGAGATGAGGGGAAAATACAAAGCTGCTATGAAAAATGAAGCATCAGCCTGATGAGTCAATGCAGCTGTTTTTCCTCAGGGCTGGATGATGAAGGTGCTTCAGTGAGACACAAGAGCTCATAGGTCCTGGAAACAGGAACAAGCAAGTTCATTCAGTACAGACAACCCTGCCTCATAAATCTTCTTGCAACCACAACTAGAATAATTCAAGTGAAAAATAAATAAAAGTTAAAACCACAGCTTTTTTGGTGCCAGTTTTACAAAGTAGTAGTCAACAGTGGAAAATGGAATTACTCAGAGCCTTATTTCCTACTCATGCCTGCAGGTAAACAATTAAACCATTATGGCAAAACCAATATCATGTTTTCTTTAGGATAGAGAGGCTAGACTAACAGAATTCCATCATTTCCTAAACAGTGCATACAAAGAAGAACTGTGTCTTGAATTATCAACTTCCACCAAATCCCAGCCAGCAAGTCCACTGTGCTTCAAAGTCCTGTGCTGCTATGTAACTCCTCTTACATCAAACATCCTCCCTGCACATGGTCAAAAAACCCTTCTAAATCATCACAGCTTCTGCCTCACCAAACAATACACAACACCTGTAATTTGTATAAACGTGATAGATTGCACTCTGTTGCACAGACCTTTACATCAGGCTTATCCGTGCATTTTGGAACTCGTGCTCAAGTACAAAATTTCACACCGATTCAGGCACCCTGTACAAATTGTCAAGGACAAACACAGCACAAAATAAACATGTTGTTTTATTTCATCTCTGTTTACAAAGTTTCCATACAGAGTAGTGCATGCAGCTGTACCAAAACTCAATGCTAGTTAGTTATTGAGCTTTATGCTTAAGACGTCTTCATTCCCTTGTGCCTTGCAAGCCTCACGGCAGTCCCAATGCCAGCAAAGACCTGCACTGTGGAGATGAGTTTAGTATCAGCTATATAGTTTATCATATTTAACACTGACAAAGATCATGAGGTATGCTAGTCTGTTACCTGCTTGTAAAAATAATATATTACACATACAGTAAGAATAGGTATTAGTGTATTAGGCAGAAAATACAAACAAGGCAGGATAGTTGCAACAAGGAAAAAAGTCGCTTTTTAATGTGAAAGCAAAAGCCACTGAAACATTTTTTCATGTTGATATCGAAAGCATTAGATTAGAGTTCAGGGAGCAATCCTCCCAAATAGCAAACAAGTCTGTCCTAAATAACTGCCTTATACTATACAGTTCCAGGGATTATGTTTATTTATCAACAGCTTTTGCTGCCTTCATAAATCTGGTGCCAAGCACACAAGTACTGTTCGTTTAAGACCTTTCAGAATTCTCTGGGTTTTTTTGCACTTGGTGCAAAATAACATTCATGGACTCAAACCAGCTCTAATAAAACATCACCATAAAAACTTCATGGTCTTAAGCCAACCTGTTCCATCCACCTTTCAACTCCAGATTCAGGCTAAACTAGAGAGAACATCAGCTGTCCTTGACTGGCTGCTTTATTTTGATCCTTTACCAGTGCTATTAAGTGAGGATATAGGTGGTTTGGGCTTTTTTAACAACAATTCCGCAAGCCCCTACCTCCACTTATTTACACCAGATAAAACCAGAGTTCCTGCTCTTTAGGTAGCAGAATCATTTGTCTCTCAAATCTCATGCAGTGCCTGGGTTACAGCTATGCCAATATCAGAGACAGAGTTAAAAGACAAGTCCCATTCCAGAGAACTTCACACTTCTGAGTAAGCCCACTGCTATTAGTGATGTACACTGTGATCTGCCTGATTTTTCTCTATTTCAGCTTTAAATAAAGAAACCTGACTCCTCCTCCCCACCCCTACAAACACTGATTCCTGATGATGGATGGATCTGTGCCTTTCAAAGATAAAAATCAAAGCAGCTCAAACTCCATCTTTCTCAAAGACAGAGGCTGACCTAGTCCTGAGGTGACCCTGCATTTGCCCAGCTGTAAGCTCTCCTGCAGGACAGGTGCCGGCTGTCACCTGGTCATCCCCCAGGCCACAGGATGACAAGAAGTCTTCAGTCTAAAGTTCCTTATAAAAGACAGACATGCCTGATTCTCATAAAAATTCCCGAGGGGAATATAACATGAAAGAGAATTGTCATTTGGTACTATTGCACCACAGATTTTTATCTCCTAGCTTTCATGGAATTCCAGTTCAGTGGCACCTCAGCTTTCCATTATAAAAAAGATCTTTTGTTCCTTGAATGCTAAAAAAAAAGGGTTCCAGTCTCACAAATACAACAAACATGATCATTCTGTCACCCAGAGGACTGAAAGGAATGTATAGATTCCATAATATAATTAGGAATTGGAGAGTCACCCTTTATATACTATGAAGTGGTGCTGGCCTGATGCTCCTTTTCCTGGAAATGAGCAGACACTTGCTCCCTCAAGAGCAGGTCTGAAGACAGCATAGCACTATGACATGGTGCTCAGAGCAAAGGGGAAACCAGAAGTGATGAAAAGACAGCACCCAAATTTTCCTTGGGAATCTTTATGCACACATTAAAAAGTTACTCCTATTAAGATCAGTCAGAAAGTTCTTCTCAGTCTTAAAATCCCTTTTATGTACTTATTAGCATTGCGCAAGCTTGATCTGCAAGCCTGTACGTACGGCACATTGGAGAATCACAGCAGCTTTTTAACTGCACTTTCCCAGAACACCACTAGCAATTCAGCTACCCTGGGTTATCAACAGAGGAAAGGACAACACTACAACAGAAAGGGGGGAAAGAAGGCAAACCAACATGCCAACCACTTCCAAATCATAGTTCCCTATTAGCACTTAACCTCTTTGACCAAAATAAGCATTCAGTAAGACCGGTTAGCTATTTTAAATTTCCTTAGTATAAGCCTTTGAAACCAGCAGCATACCTCAGACATTCTTGCTTCAAGACTGTGTAGTAGTGGCAATTCCTAAATGAAAGTGCTTTAAGGTTAGGATTCTCCCACTTCCCTCTTGTGATCTGTACTCCTGTCTATAAGTACCTGCCTTCCCTTCCCATATTTAAGAGCAGACTGAATTATTATACAGTTCTATTGCTGCTTCAGCAGTTGGATTTCTCCTTCTGCTTTGCTAATGTGTGCTTCAGTTCCTTTAAGTTCTCTGTCAGTACCTCCACCTCATCCAGTCGTCCACTATGTTTGGCATCAAATATATAAGCTTTGATATTATCTATCTGTTGGAGAAGCAGCTCCTCCTCTATAACCTCCTCTCCAGAGATCTCACTGCCATCCTCCACTTCAAAGGGATTAGTAGAGGATCCCTCTTCAAATGGATTCCCTGAATTCCAACTGCCCCCACCAGACTTTTGAAATGGATTTTCATCCTCTTCAAAAGGGTTTGAAGTACTGCCAGGTGCTCCATTGCTTTGTTCATCTTCCTCCTCGCTTTCAAATGGATTATATTCTTTTTTATCACTTTGCAGAGCTGTGTTAGAGAAAGAAACCAGTGGACAGGTGTCTTTGGCAAATGGGTTAGCAGGATCTTCCTCTGCCTGAGGGGTATCTGCTTCATCTTCAAAGGGGTTTAGGCAGGCTGGCTGATCTCTGTCTAGGTCACACTGTGGGACATTCTGGGGTTTGAGTGTGAAGGTCAAACGCTCTTGAGCTGGCAGCTCCTCAACAGTAGAAGTTTCAGAACTCATGTCCCCTTTGATCTGAGTAATATCCAAATGCTGTTTGACTTCTCTGAAGTCTAAGGAGCATGTCCTTGAATGCTGAGACATGAATTTATGCCGCTCTCTTTCCCACTCTTTTTCACGAAGGACCTGAAGTTCCTCCCTCTGCATCTCTTCGTCTTCTGCCTGTTTTTTGGAAAGCTCAATAGCTTTCAGAGTTTGTTGTTGATCATATTCATCCTGAAGCTGCATCAGGTTTTCTTGCAACATATGGACCTCATCTATCTTATTAGCTGCCTTTGCTTGCTCAATAAAGGATGTGATATTGTCAATCTGCTGAAGAAGTGGGTCTGCTCTCTCACTCTCTCTTGAGATGCTAGATGTGGGTAACCAGCCCTCAGATTTCCTGACTGTTCCTTTTTTCATGTGAGTTTCATCACCATTAACTGCAGCTGCAGATCTGGACATAAACTCTTTCTGATTTTCCTCTTGTTTTCCCTGTGTTTCGAAAGTGACCTAAAACAAAAAACATGTAGTAAGAAAACACCAGGAGCTTGAAAAATTTCATTCTAAATCCACAGGTACAAGTTAGCTGATATTAGATGTTGCTGGTTGTCACTAAAAGGGATCAGCTGCAGTTTTGGTTACTTTGCAGAAAATGCTTCCTGTGAGTTTGTGATGATATTGACCAAAATCCCACAAGATCTGCCTCTACAAACTTGAGGGCAAGTAGGAGCAGTGACACTGTTCTTTACAGAGCAAAAAAAAAGTGCCTAATGCAGCTGTGCAGAGTGGTCTAGATTGATTTGAACAGTAACTGTATCACAGCTGACTCCAGCAGCAGACACCTATAAATAGAACATCAGTGTTTAAGGTCACTGATACAACTGGCTTTTGGAGTGGGATGATTCTTATTTCTCAACTTATACCTCAAAACAAAGTTGGTTTAGTTTACTATTAATGATGTCCTCCTCCTAACTGAAAAAAAACCTCCCTAAAGAGGCATCCTTACTCTAAATGTCTTTTTCCATCACTTAAAGAGGTTTCCAAATTCTACTTGTGCAAGTGAACTCCTGAACACAGTTTCAAAGTTCATGTAAACTAACACACTCAGTTCAGGGCTTGCTCTGCACACACTGCACCAGGAACAGCACATGCACCCAACCCAGCTGCTCCATGCACACCTACTTCTGTTCTGGGCAGAATACAGCAAGCAGCTATGTGAATCCCTGGAAAAGGGTATGGTACAATATACATGAAAAAATGACAAACTGAAATCCAGTGTTGAAGGCAACCTCATACCCACACAGCTCTCAGGCTTACATCTGTGACTCATGCAAGATATAACAGATCCTAACCTGCCTTACCATATGCAGTCTTCTCTTTTTCAGTTCTTCATACTGATCCTTGGTTGGCAGGGACATTAGGCCAAGCAGTTTTTCCTGGCAAAAATTAAAATAAAAGATACTGTGAACAGTATTGCTTGCAAGCATTCAGCCAATTTCAAGTCCTTGAGAAGAGAAATACTACCAGCAGAAGCCCCACAAACACACCAAAGATGGTTCTACGCTGCAGTCCCTGATGC